AGATCTAAATAACCTATTGAAAGCATTTATATTCTTGAATTACTGCTAGTCATAAACAAATTAATACTTTCTTCAAATCTGTGAAGATTTGTTGATAAAAAGACAAAATAATTTTTTTAATTAGACATAGACATATAATTTATTACAAACAAAAACACACGCATAAACACACAAAATAACAAATCAAAGAGAAAAAATTAAATAAAAAGATATTATGAAAGATATAATTTTTTTTTCCTTTTCCCATTCGGTTTGTCTCAAGAATGTAATGCGAGTGTGCTGTGGCTGTCATTGGCCCTGGCTCAGCATTATGCTGAGGAGCAGAATGTTCCTCAGCGCTGGTCATTCTGCCAGAGACCACATAAGCTAGTTTGCGCCTCAGTCACAAAAAAAAAGAATGTATGTAAATGTAATGTAAACTTAGTAGCAAATAATAATTATAATATTAGTAAAAATTTGCAGTGTAAGTAATGAAGTCTTGTATAATGTGGTGTGAAGTAAATAAAATTAAAAATTTGAATAATTGTTAAAAATTTGATAAATTTACTGGGCGGATTAAAATCTAGATTTCGTGGGATTTTTGTTGAGTTAATTATAGATGATGATATATTATAATTACTAAGCACCTGTTTAGAATAATAGAACTTCGAATTACCTCTTTTTCTGCGGCTTGGGCGCGCGATGTTTGAGTGCATTGAGCACATAGTACTTAAGCAACTTTTGATATGAGACTCGTACTTTGACAGGCTGACCCGGAGGGCAGTGTTCCTTGTACCATGTCTTAACAAGAGGCACGTCAATGGCCCGACGACAACGACCTAAATGAGTTTAATGAGTCATTGAAACTAACTTGAATAAAAATATGTATGTGAAAGTTAGAAACTATATTACAGTACAAAAAATCTGTATTACCTGATCTCATACTAAAAGGCCTAGGAGCCCACAGCAGCGCAATACCATTGGCTGTGTTGTCGGTGTACAAAGCCGTTTCTTGTAAGAATGGTGAGACTTCTTCAGGTAAAACAAAGTCTTCCTCTTCGGGGACAGGGTCTAAGGACTTCACTGAATGTCTGTGTGAGATTGGATTGATGAGGGGATCAAAGTAAAAAGCTGGCAAGTCTGGGTCTTCTGTTTTGATGTACACAACATTGGGTGTGTGGTACCTAGAAAGTTATGTAATGTAAAATGAGAGAACAGTATTGCATCAAAATAAAAGAAAATAAATAAGAAAAGAAAAATAAAGAAAGGATGCCAAATTTATTAAATGAAAAGAATGCTTTAACGAGTATACATATATTTTTTATGTAGTGAATTGTAACAAAATATTATTGTACTTCTGTAGTATACTTAAATGTATGCCATAATCAATAGAGAAAAAATTTAAAAAAAAATCAGAGGTGCTACAACCTTTTTAGGTCTTGGCCTTGGATTTCTGTATCTGTTTCATGATCATTTTTAAATCTAATAGGCACGTAGGTGATCAACCCGCCATCGACTTTTTGGGTCTAAGACATGTCAGTTTCCTCATGATGTTTTCCTTCACCGTTCGAGCAAATGTTAAATGAGCACATAGAATCTCCATTGATGCACAGTCGGGGATCGAACCTACGATCTCAAGTATGAGAGTTGAACGCTGAAGCTTCTAGGCCAACACTGTTAGCTTCTAGGCCAACACTGTTAATCAATAGAAAATATAACATAATATTACATAGCACTTACCAAGACAGTTGAACAAAATGTGGCAAATTGTTATAGAGGTATGGGAATGCTATTCTGTATTCTGTTCTGATTGGCTGTCTGATGATGATCTTGTTAATATCGTTGAACTCATTCCAATCTTCATCTCCAGCAGAGTTATCTTTCACCAAGGGTTCAAACTTTGGACCTCCAGGTATCGCCATATTTAGGGCTTTTGCAGTGAAGAAACTCTTTGAATCAAACAAGTAAAAATAGTTGTCATCTACTAAATCAGTCAGTAGTTGGTTTGCAAGACGGTAAAGTGTAGCCATTTGCGGTAATGACAAATTCCATTTCCTGTATGTAGATCCATTAACATGTATAGTGCCTAATAACGGTTTGTGGTCATAAAACCATGAAGCTACTGCCCTATCTTCCTCAGGATCCATCTCTATCTGTATGGGTTCAAGGGGCTCCACATCCAAGATATTATCAGCATAGTCTAATGGAGGTTCTTCATCATCAAATGGTGGAAATCTCATTCGCTTAAAGTGGCGACGATCTCTTTTTTCACGCCTCATCATAATCCACATAGTGCCCCATTGAGCAATATATACAGGCTCAATTACCCAGGGTATCTCATTAACAAATGTTATAGCTCCTGTAATGTGGTATAGAACTTGTACATCTCTGATTTGTTCCCATGGCATTGGCATGTTCTCAAGTAATTTCATAACAGCATGTGGCATGTACTTCAATGCTCCGAGGTACACTCTCTTGTCATGTCTGTATTTACGACTTGTCATATCACCGTGGTCTCTGATGATTTTGCGTATGTGCTCTGGTGGCATATCTTCTTTTTGAGCATCCACAAAACCAAATTTGCGCTTTTCGGCAAAACGCTTTGATTGAAGTTGAAGCCATTTTGTAGCTGTAAGAAATTATAAAAAAATTCACTACTTAAGTATGTAACTTAGTAGTTGTTACTTAATAATATATCTTAAATATAGGGTCATATAAATAATGTTTGCAACAACAGCACTTTCCATGTGATACTAGATAGGAAAATTATATCCATTGCAAGCAATCTACCCCACAGGAAATTATTTCAACTATTCTTCAAGAGTGAAATATTGTTTCATGGGGTGTAATTAAAGTTGATAAACTTAACTTTTTACTTTTACGTAAAAATACATAATAATGACTTCAATAAGGCGTAGAAAACAAAATTAATTAATTAGAATTAAACATAGAATAGTACTTATGTGATAATGCCAAATATTTTAACAATTGTCATTTCTTTAACTTTTATAAAACCAGATGTGGTTAACTATGGAAAACTCACCCTTTTCCTTTATCTTCTCCTCGGGAATGTGGTGAGGTTTTGGTGGTTGAGCCGGAGGGACCGGCGGCGCAGCTGCAGCAGCGGCAGCGTGCGCTTGTAAAGCGGCCTGTTGCGCCGCTGCCAGCTGTTGCTGCGCCATCATGGTAGCCCAGGGGTTGGGCCCCAATAAGTAAGGCGGCAGCGACATCGCTGCTGCCCTATAATCAAAATATTATAACCTTATCACTACAAATCAATCACAAAGTAATCCACGCTTGAAAATAGAATAACTTACTTTGATTACGCCCTTGAATATACACTTATTTATTTAATTTTAAAAACAACATTGAAACGTCTTATATTTCACATGTTTTTAAAGCGACGCCAATTGTTATAGACACGCCAAGCGCGGCCATTTGCATTTACATTTAGCTGTTGCTGTTACCACAGATTAGTAAATATTCAATAACAATAAGTAATTTAATAAATATAATATATGCTGTATACTTTTGCTAATTTGATAGTGCTGTAAATTTTGGTGAATAATGCAAATTACACATTAAAGGTGGTAAATTATAAATTTTTCTATTATGGACTTGTATCGTTCATCGTATTTCAACTGCGCTGCCAAAATTTTGCTTTTGTCTTTTGATCCTCATATTACCTCCATGTTACAAAACTCAAAATGTTTCTTTTACGTTAATAATGGGGCGTTCCCACGAGGCGTTAATCACGACAGTCAACCACGCTTTCGTGAAATACACTTCTGTGTGAACGCATAGGCGTTAAACTTGCTTTCGTGAGGAACGGCGCACGACACAAGCGTGGATAGATCAAACGTGTTTGATTTTCAGTCGTGATATACCGTTCGTGAAGCCAAGATGTCGTCACAACAACGTGGAATTAAGTTTAACGACAGTGAAACTACGCGTTTTTTGGAGTTATATTCTATGGAAAAGGTGTTATATGATCCAAGTTTGGAGGAATACCGTGATAGAGATTTACGTGCCGCCGCAGCTATGAGAATAAGTCATGAATGAACGTCTTTTTTTTCGTTTTCTTGTGTCATGATCTTTTTTGCTATGATAGTAGCAAAAACCGAACTTAAAACAGCACAACTTTCAACAACCAGATCATTCATGATCGATGTTTCGATAATGACTAAGTCGAAACACGAAGCGTGAACGGCACGAAATCCCCCAACCATGTGAACGTTTCATCAATTCACACTTTCGTGAGTGTCACGAACGACAGTTGACTAGCGTAGTTGACTGTCGTGATTAACGCTCCGTGGGAACGCCCCATAATGTTCAAACATATGCAGCATACAAAAAATCGTGAAATGGAACGCACTTTTCAGTATTGAAGTGATTGAATCAAGCAAAGCTCTAAATTGAAACGACAGATTTATCTAATGCGATGTCTACATTCCCTAAGGCTTAACTAAAAAAATATGTAAGCGTTGCGCACCTACAGTAGGATTGGAAAACGACAGCTTTCCTTGGCCACAAAGACTTCAATCTTCTATCCCCGAAAGTTGAGAAGTACTGGGCATTTTTTTAAAAATGAATAGTACCTACTCTATCTCGTACATTCAAAAGATCAAAATATACGAAAATATTAAATCGCCATGAAATATGAGACTCAAGAGTAATGTATGCTAAAAAAATAAAATACCTCATTTTAACTAACTTTCATGTATTCATGACAATATACGTATATATATAATTGTTATTCAGGATTGAGATCACACTAGTTAATCCATTATTCACGGTAGAATGTCTATATTTTTCAGGTAAACCAATTAAAACAATTTCTAATTTATACGAATGATCATTTAATCATTTGAAATTATTTCTAAATATAAAGTAAGAAATTTAAATTTAAAAAGTCAATTATATGATGCATGTCATCGGGCAATAGTCTAAATTACGCACAAGAAGTTACAAATAGCCAAACTAAAATAAATTGAAATGTATTTTATGGACTTCTTCGATTACTACAACATTAAGTCATCTCGAAAAGCATCAGGCGGTGTTAGAATACACCTTTCTAAATTTATATCGTACAAAGATTCTTTTATTTCATTTACAGTTTCCATGAATAATTCTTCCTCGGACGACAAGATGTCGCTACTTTGTGAATCAGAATTTTCCGGAATGACTTGAGTTAAAGCTATTGCAATTTCCGAATCGCTATCAACATCGTTACTAATTCCATGCTTATCTGTGGTTTTGAAACTATTGTTTGGATTAGTATTATCTGAAGCGGAATAACTCTTTTCAATTGTTTGTGGATCACTATTAGCATTATCAAAATTTTCTATTGCATTACTCGTTTCATTACTAAATTGTATATTATCTTGAGTTTGTTGGCTATGTTCCACTGCAATTTCAGAAATGTTGTCCGACTCTACATTAGTCGAATTCAAAAAAGGGTTAAGTAATTCTGTAGATGACTTTACTGCAGTATATCTATTACCAAAATCATGTATATGTTCCCCTGCATCTTCAGTCTTTGTCTCTTCTGTACTAAGATTTTTCATCACATTACAGTCGTTCCGCGTTGTTGTATCATTGAATATATTGCTTTCAGAAAAATTATTATTGGTATTTGTAGTGGTTTGCCCCTTGCTGTACGACGTACTTTTACTATTTTGTTCGCGCAGATTTTCTATAATTTGAGGGTAATCAGATTTAAATTTTTCTAGAATATTTTTAATATTAGTAGGACTTTGGTTTATCCTTAACTCCTGTGCTATCTTTGCATTAATTTCATACACACAGCGATCATCGCTCTTAGCATGCAGTGAACGTTGCTGTGGCTAAAATAAATAAACTAAAACAATTATTATATTCATTTATCTTGGAAAACGTCTTATCTTACTCATTGGTAAAGTATCGTCTATTCTCAGAAATCTGGATAAAATATCTTTATTACAAATTCTTAATGTAATAAAATCTACCTTTCTCCGACTTGCGATTAATTCTGCTAATTCCTTAGCTAAATTTATTGTTTGTTCTGGTAAACTGGTTTTCTCAGCTAAGGCTAATCCGTAATGGTCTATCTCAGTGATACCAGCTTCTATTTTGTGTTGATAAACAAGTCTTTTTTGAGTATTTTCCGTACCGACAGTCTCTTCTGCAACTGCTGTGTGACGACTGAAAGCAAATTTATCTTTATTACAACATAAAAACAATATATTTGGTTCGGTTAAATAATCGTCATAAATATTTAATATTATGATAAAACGTTATTCTACTTTGTGTACAGATATGTAATTATTTTGAGGCAAAAATTTAAATAACTTTCTATGTTTAATTAAATGCTATCGTCATGTAAATGATTGAAAAATCACCTACGACGTTACGTTTCGGTAACAAGTATTTTTTATCTAACATCCCGTTTAAAATACTCCAATCCAAATATATTAGGCCGGCCAAACATATTTATAAAATGCGCTATGACCATCAAAATTCTTTTTTTAAATCGTAATAAGACCCCTGTAGAACCGCCATACTGGTACAATTGACCGGCCTGTATATACTCGTATACGTATCTATACATAAATGTAAGGAAAAAATGTTCCAGATATCTGTATCTAACCTACCAGTATTATTTAATCCGTAGGTACTAGAAAAAAATAAACTTACTTCACTACATTGAAGTACAAATCTTCAAGTCGTGTTAGGTACAGAAAATGAGTAGTGAAAAATGTAAAAGCATCACTTAGTATAAGCTCTTCACAAATAGCCCATGCTATACTCGCTCCTTCTTCTACACTTGTGCCCCTAAAATATTACATAAAAGAAGATCATAAATAATAAAAACAAAGATTTGTTCTCTATCAACAGTAGGCATGGTGAAATAGGAGCACGCACTAACATTCTCGTGGGAACAACACGTCATAGTCGAAATAACTAACATCACCGCATACGATTATACGAATTCAAGTTCGACCAGTCACCATAAGTAGCACACGTTCACGAGTATGACGCATGGCCAGCCATCGGCCCTCTCGCCATATTTTAGGGAGAAAGACAACCCGACGCATGGACGCATGCCACACTGTTCACGTAACTCACTATTGCTTATCTTATCACCCAATTTCACACCATACATACTTATTAACGCTTTCATTTATTCTGTTATTAATACTAACCTGCATAGTTCGTCTATGATGACTAAACTCGATCGCGTAATGCCTTTAAGTATGTGTTGAATTTCTTTCATCTAAAAAGAGATTTTTTAATGAAAAGCAATACTATATGACGCGAACACGCAAACATCATCAAAAATTTCAATTTTTTTACGTTTAAAAACCGATAAAAGTTAATATTTTGCAATAAAGTGTCTTTATAATAAAGTTGCGTTCTAAAAATAAATCATAATTATATAAAAATCAATACGTTACTTCAATCACATATGTAGAAGCATTTAACTCCACGCTATCATTAAATCCGATCCTAGAAAAAATACGATCGCAAAGTCGCAAAACTGCGTTTGTTGCTGGTATGTAACAACCCAACTGTAAAAATAAACATAAATAATTTATGTTTACACAACACACATAAAACAATTTATGGCAAAAAAACATAATATATATGTTAAATTACACATCATATAGTGATATTTTATTTACGATTTGAAAAGAAATATAGATATTTATAAATTTTTTGCAATGTCGAAAATCTAAATATGTAAGAGTTATATTACTTGTGACATGACTTGCATAATCGCAATCTGCTTGATATAAATACTCTTTCCACCCATGTTCGGTCCTGTTATGATCGTGAAATTGTATTCGGGACTTGCAAACTAAAAATTAATTTTTGTTAGAAATGTTTGATATTGCCAGTGTTTAAATTTTTTTCATTAAGCGGACAGGCTTATTCCGCCAGGGTCATGGCCATGATAGGATGAGCTCCTTATACAATATCAATGTATTTTTTTTGTATTCAAATGCCATCTTTCAGTTTCTTGGGATTTCTTAAGGCCAAATAGTAGGTATTCGAAACAGAATGTTCGTATTTTAATGGTATCTTTTGCGATTTGAGTTAAGGTGTCTTACAAGGCACAACATTTTAAGTAATGTTGAATCTGTCAAGCTCTGACGGACGCACTCTAAAGACTTTTCCTTTAGAATAATTATTAGTTCATTATGAGTTATTATGATTAACTATGTAACGTAATTAGATTTAAAAAATACTAACAACATCATTAGGAACAGGCATCACTTGGCTGTTATAGTCTAGTAGTGGGTGTACACTATTCCTTATATCCAAATAATCACTGAATTCTGGTCGTATGTATGAGCCTACTGAACTTATCTGCAATGAGTTTAGACGTGTTAGCTGGTAACTTTATGACGTGTGATAACGGTTTAATATGAAAGAGAAAATTCAACGTAGGTATTTTGTGAAAATTTCTATTGAAACGCGAACTTCATATTTAGTTCCAAATATGTATTTTATACTACAATACACATAATATAGTTACTAAATGTGTGATAAAAAGAGACAGTTGAATAGGTACTTTAGTTCAAAAGGGTGTTCTTTGACAAGATTTCTATCAGTGATCCTATACAGTTAGTAGAACCTACACAAATTGAATTCAAAGTAAATAATCATCATATCTTAAAACCGCCAAAAGGCTTCTCTAGACTTCATGTTCATTATGGCATGACATCATGTTTATAAATAAACGTCAGTTTTTTACGTGTTGATCTTCGTTAGTAAATAACACAAATACGCATATATTTTATTTCGATTAAAAATAGTCTCCGACGAAATAAACTCCAAGACAATATCGACGTAGGAAAGCATATTTGCTGTAAGTAGACAAAATACCTAAAGTGACTTTTTACTGCCATTAGAATCAGAAAAAAACCGCATCGAATGTCCCGGGTCCTGTGTCTCTACGATGAAAAAAAATTACATACGCGGTTGAAAACGCCCGTACTTATATTTTTTTAGTAAGATTAAATGCTGTATGTAGACCAAAATCCAGTCATTTTAGACAATTTGTACTTACAGCAAAAGAAAAACTGCATTTTTTTCTTTACAAATACTTACTTCTTCCCATTTAAAAACTTAACGCTACTTACAGCATTTCTGCGGCGTGTGATTTTTACATTTGTTTACTTACAGCAAGTTTAGGGAACATACAGTTTTAGTTTTTTTTACCATTTAAGGTCACCCGGGGCGAAAGCAACTATGGGGCTAAAGTGACTAATTGATTTTATTCACAATTTAATGATTTTTGTAAAACGTGCCATCTGTTGAAGAGTAGAGCAATTATTACTTTTTTTTTATAAAGTCTAGATGGAGCTTTTAAGTCGCTAACTGTTGTACTGACAGAGCATTTTTTGACTACCGCCATTTTGGAGCAAAGTTTTGCGGCGCCGTTTGTTTAGTTTTGTGCCATAAAAAATATTTCACGTTATTTCCAGCCAAATTGAAGGTTCATCCTAACATAAAGATAAAACGTAAGTGCTTTTGGTATATTTGGTTAAAGGCTAAGTCTTTTAATTAACATTTTATTGACATAGTTACATTAACCTCAAATTTATGTGCAGATGGGTAATTGCAACTATTTTTGCAGTTGCAATAGCCCCATCGTATTTGTATGAAAAAATCAAATCACTAGTGAAGTTCCGTGTCGATATTTCAACAAGTGAAGTTCACTATCTATTTGCATAAAATATTTACCTTGGTATCTGTGACGTATTTTTTTAAACTTATATATTGTTTTTGTTAATAATTTAATTGAATTTATTTACATAGAAAACTTAATAATACGTGTTATTGAAAGGCAGATTAGGCGTGCACAAAATACATTCAAACTATAAAACTATGAAAGCCTTTACATAAAGTTACGATTTTGTTAATCTGCAGAGACAGAACGATACTTACGCATCTGCCCAGTGAATCTCTCAATTCAGAAATTGGCAGTAAGAATTACTGGACTGATCAATATTATCCTAGGTTTAATGATTACTCACATAATGAGGCATTATTAAATGCCAATATTATTAAGTCAGCTAGACATTAAGCAAAAATGTTGATGTTAATTCCCAAAAAATAACTTTAGCAAGACTGCGTTTTTGTACTTACTTTCATGTTATCTATTATACTTACTGTCCTTAGATGTTTATTTGATTATAAGAAATGTTAAAACCTTTTACTATGAAGATTTATTTTTTAATGAATCGCATTTTAATTCTTTACCTTAAATCAGACTAATAATTTTTCGGTCCTTTCATCGAATTTTTTTTCACGAAGATTTATCGATAAATTTAGTAGTACGTATCTGTCCAACACTAGCAAGTATGGGAGGCAGTCGCATTCGCCCCATAAAAAGTTTAAATTATTTTTTCTGGAAACTGAGCCTTATTCCCAGCACCTAGATACCAATTTCAGATACCTGTAGTGTGAAACTATATATACCCTTATTCCAAACGTATAGATTACGATTACAACAAGGTCATTTAACTGATAGTTGCATTAGCCTCAAGGTGGGGTAAATGTAACTTTTAGTGCTCTTATTCAACAAGAATGTAAATTATTCAATAACTTAAGCCTATTTTTCACGTACTTTATGTCGGAACTATTCAATGAAAGGCATGGAATAAAGTAAGTTCATTTAAACAACCATCATAATTAGGTAGCTAATGGTAGAGGACGACAAAGTACCAATTTATAAATTTTTAGTTGCTTTCGCCCCGGGTGACCTTACGATATTTTATTTAAACCAAACATTACATTACCAAATGACCCACTGCATTTCTAGATCTAATCATAATTATAAACTAATCTTACATCTTGAATTGCAATTGAAAGTACCCAAATACATAAATTTACTGCATACAGCATATTTACCGCCTGTAAATTTATAATATTTCCGCGCGTACATTTTTCTTCCTTAGTTACAGCGTTTTAAAGGTTTGTGATTTAAAAAACTGTATGCTGTAACTAGCCAAACACGTACTTATAGTAACTTTGTATAAAAAGTTTACATTGCAAATGGTGACTGGCAGTTAAATAAATATATGTTTCAAAAATGGTAGCAATATCATGGATAGGTTCGACACTATTAATTTTTTCCGAAATTAATTAAGTTTTTTGGCTCTGGTGAACAATTGCAATATGTCTACTTACAGCAAATATGCTTTCCTACGTCGATATTAGGCTTCAGTCGGAAACACACGTGTCGTGGCGTGTCGTGACGCGCCAGAAGCATATTGGTTTCATACATTTAATATTATTAGAAACATATTTGCATGTTGTGTCGTGTCGCAACACGTTCTGTCTAATCATATAAAAATATGCTTCTGGCGCGTCACGACACTCCACGACACGTAAGTGTGTTTCCGACTTTAGACACGTCGTCGTCGCGTCGGTTAGAGTAATCTATCACTGTTTCGTGTCACGTGACTGACGTATAAAATTTAATATCGATTTTTCTCCAAAACGCTTTTTAAAGATTAGTCATTAATAACACTTTATTTCTCATACTGTCATTATGTAGCCTATACCTTAGTTTTTATTAAAAAGTGACTTACCTGCGCCAATGCAATTAAGATATCCAACTCGGCAACGTTTTCACAAAGCTTGTATAGACTAGCCATGAATGGTCTTAGGTCTTTTAGTAATGCAGAAATTACTCTACAGATTAAAAATTTCTTAATTTAGTAGGAGCCATATCAGATAACTCAAGGGGGACTATAAATAAGAATAAAATAATATCTATACAAATAATTTTAGATATACAGCAGGTAAAGTAAAATCAATTGCTTTATTGATAAAAATACTTCGTATTCAATACCTTTCCGTTTTTAAATTGACTACATGTATTTGGATACTACTGCTTGTATGTACTAGAAGGCTTTGGGCTCAATATTTTACTAAACAACGTGCAATATTTACATATTACTCATTTTTTGTATTTCATTAAGAGCCTCTTTTGCCTGATGGTCGAGAACTACCAGTTCCTCTGTCGTCATACTTACGCTAACTCCGTTGAAATGTACCTACAAACAATATATATACATGTATAAACACGGCATAATATTTTTGTAGAATAAAAGAGCTGTGTTACTTCTCATCCACAAGATTTAAAAATCTTTGTCTCTGTCTAGTTAAAAAATCTTCTTCACATTTACTACGGTCTAACCAATTGCAACAACTTTTTTTAGATTCTACCCTCATTTAGTTTAATAAAAAATAAAAATATAACCCGAATAAATATCTAATGACAAACATCTTAACCAATTTGTTAAGTACTGGAAGGAACTAGCGTTTAAGACACAGGCTAGGCGTAGTTTAAACGCTAGTGCTCATAGAATTATTTTTTATGTACGAGGTTAACGAAAATAATAGTGAGAACACAACGATACCTATTGTATGTTTATAACCTTTAGAATGTTAGTACAAAATGTAATTGTTTTTCCGTCAAATAAAGTGATTTTTTATTTTTAATTCAGCGTGCTTCTCTTACACGTTTGTGCTCCCAACTGGATCACTGTCACTGTCATAGGACAAAATTGTACCTTCCAGATTACACTATTGTGTAACTTTCTATAGTAAAAGCTGCCCAACATTTTTATGTAAAACTACATGTTTTTAACGAAGAATGAGTGTGGTACAAAAACCCGGATGAGTTGAACAGCGGTAAAAATTTAATACCAAGACAGAGTTACTCCAGAGGTGGTGCTTTCCACGCTAAACGAAAAAGTATTATACAGCAAGGAAATGCTGCCAGCATTAAAGCCACAGGGACCAAACGTTTTTAAATTAATTAAAGTTTTTTATTTATAAATTTTTAATTATTATTACTATGTAGGTTAAGAAGATTGTAAATACTCTATATTTGTGTGTTATATATATAAATACCTGTATAAAAATGGAAGGCAAATCGGCAACATTGAAACTTCTACGATTTTTAGGAGATACAGGCATTGCAATATGAAATCCCTTCATAACATTTTGATTCAAACGAATTGGTAGATCATAAGTCTCACTTAGTTGTTCAACGATTTTCTGTATATCATCAATTAATTCGGAATACGTTCTTCTTGCCACATCTAGAAGTCCATTTATTTCTGGCTTTATCGCAAAGCATCTTTGTAGACTTCCCATGGCACCCTTTTCTAGATGTGCGTCATCTAGCAGAATACTTCGTATTCTGTCCGCTATTTCTTTGTAATGGGGATTTTCGAAGTCCTACGTTACGATAAAAACTTAAAAATTTACTGTTATTGTGGAAGGAAAACATCGTGAGGAAAGCTTAGACTGAAAACATCGATGGCGTGTCAGGCACAGGAGGCTGATCACCTACTTGCCTATTAAATTAACAAATGATCATGAAACAGATCTCACACCTGCTGTACGCCGAATAGGCAGAATATTGTATTAAAGGTTTGTTTACGTTTCAGTAATTGCTTAAAGTTAACCTAATAGTTAGTCGAGATTGAGAACTGACAATTAAAAGCTACAATAATTATTATCATTAAATTCATATTTTGGTGTTGTATTTTAAATAAACAGAGGTCTGATATATATCTAAGTCAGAAGCATAATTACCATTTTTATCTTCCTTAAACGGCCGCTCTCTGCAGGCAATAACGCAAACACTAAATTGGGAACAACATCCATTGTAGTTTTTAGCAGCAGTGTCTGATTTAGCTGTGCCTCGCCAAATTTATCCATTTGCTGATTTGGACTTTCGATGCATAGTAATAAGATTCTATCTATTTCAGATAGCTTCTTTATAATATCCTAATACGAAAGAGGTCATTTTAATATATTAATTGTTTATGTAATACATCTTCACTTATATTATAATGAGGTCACGTATTGTGTTTGTGTATATGTAAAGCCGAATTTACATTACGAAACTAGTGTTATGCATGTTGGAATGAGTTTCATGAAAATAGTTGCAGCACGTGTGAAACTACTTTAACAAAAAATAATAGTGTCGTGAAATCAACAGTATCACCAACGACATGGCTCTGTCAACATCAAAGCTTCATTTTGCAATGCAGAACGTCGTGGTACAGATGTTAATATATAAAATTCGAAAATTATATTTTTATCAACTGACCAAAGTTGGTTTGCCATTTTGGCGGTCATTTAGCTGCACGATGCACTCAAACGCACACGTCTGCCCTGTGCAAATGCTTTCGCGACACTAGTTTCGTGTCGCGTTTTCATCGTGAAAGTAGTTGCGTGACATTAGTTTTACAAAAAATATGCGCATGGCACGAAATTTATCCAGTGTCGCGAAACCGATGCATGCATTATGAAACTGTAAATTTACACGTGAAATTGTTGATGAAATTTATGTCATAAAACTAATTCCGAGCCACTAGTTTCGTAATATAAATTCGGCTTAAGTATTCACAAATACATAGGCTAAATGTAAAAACACGATAACTTTTCTTTTTATTATTTTATTATTACTTACATAACCTACATAAGGTTAAGAAAATTGTAAATACTGTATTTTTGATTGTTATGATTAATAAAAATATATATATATATATCATCAAGGATTGTTTTAATCTATTTTTTTAACATTTTTTTTGTTCTTTTTTTATTTTTTCATAATTTTTTCCACATCTATTTCAAAAATTTGTTATGTTTGGTGTTTGTTTATATTTTCTAATTATTAACTTTTTACTATTATAATTACTAACTACTATGTAGGTTAAGAATATTGTTAATGTATATTTGTATGTTGGAAATAAATATCTTTCAATGATATTTAATCTTTTTGTATTATTGTACATTGTTACTGTATTATTAAAAGACAGAAAAATTATTATAAATAAGTGTTGACAAAATAAAAACATGACTTATCGTAGTCCGTGACGTCTATGATAATACCTTATGAATATTCAATGACATGACAATTTATAAACAGTAAGTTTAATACAATTACTTGCAAACTTGTCATTATGCCCGAATCATTCTCCATCAGTTCTTGCACCGCATCTAACCTTGCTTCAATAAACTCTTTCTTACAAGATGGTTGCAGTATACCCGCTCTTAATGCCCTAATACCGCCCACGGTATATGTGGGGCCTAGTACACCAAGAAGACAACAAGTGGGCCCAGCTGATGGTAGCAATGGTTGGACTAGTTCAAGCTGGGTTGCCGTACCAACATCTAAAAAATTAGGATGCTAAATGATGCGTTATCTGGGCCAATTTCGCGGTATTCAGAATTTAAATCCCGTCGCGTATATCAATGGAATAATTTTTATTTTATTACACGTTAGGATAACTTTTTCATATATTTCTAAAGTTTATTACAAAAGTTTTGAAACTTTCCTGCTAAGGCTCATCATTTTTATAATCTTTCTGATGATAGCGATTAGTCAAGGGCGTTAAAAACTATTTCCGGTGGCTGTTTTACACATTTTCTAATAGGCTGAGAAGTTTTTGCTATATAAGAATGTTTTTACAATCCAACAATTTCGTTGAAATTGCATAGAAAATTGTTTTTGTGTCTGATTTCTGAGCACAAACATATACACAAACCATCCAGTTCGCAGCCTCCAACCAGTTGGAATGATATGTTTGGGTTGATAGGGGAAGAGGGAAATACATTATCTGCAATTTCGCACTTTTCAACCATACAAAAAGCGAAAGGGCGCAGAGGCCGACTACTGGTTGCGGGGCGGCGAACTAACTGTTTACTCTAGAATATTGAAGTTTGCTACACCGAATGTATAATGACAAGTTAGAGGGGAAAGTGATCGGCAAAATTTGTTGCATACATCTTTAAAACATCAGAAAACCGTCATTCAGAAATCTTTTTGATTTTTATGAGGTAGCAAACAAACAATTCGGTTCTAAAATTTGCCGCCCCAAAAATCTGGCGCCCTAGGCCCCAGCCTACTCAGCCCGCTGGTAAATCCGCCACTGACTTTTTATAACGTTATTTTCGTAAAAAAATTGTATAAAGTTAAAATTTGAGTTAATAATAAATTAATATTCACATAAATTACGTGCGTCACACATGAATAAAGTATTTTATTGATGAATTCATAACCATAAAACTTGCGTTTAAAAATACTTAATTTTTTTTGATAACACAAAACATGTGTTAGAGGAGATATGAAGATAAAAAAATTACCGATTATCATGGTATCCTCCGATGAATGATATGCTACTTTTAGTGATTCCCTAGCAAAAACTATGCATTGGATATATTCTACGTATTTTAGTACAGCTGCGGCTGCGGTTAACGCATAGAACCTGAAACAATGTAGAGAATGTTTAAGAGGAAGAATTTCTAGTATTTCTGGGACAAGAGGCAAACCGGATGGCGTAAAATATACGAATTTATATATTATGAAGATGCAGGCATTAATATCAATATGGTCCTAAGAGCATAATTGAACTGTGCCTTCAAATGTCTTATTAATTTAAATAGTTTATACTACAGATACCGGCAAACATTAAACAAGAGAGTGAGGGAAAGTTTTCGCAGCGCGAGAGCATACGTCAACTGATTTACAAATCACGTGAGCCGCGCATCACCGCTCCCCCCCTCCCAGTGTTACCTAAAAATCTTTTCTGCGCAGGCAAGGACATTTGTTCAAGATGTTTGCCGGTATCTGTATCCACTTTTATGACAAATGACCTTTAGATACGAAAAAGATTGCTATATTTTACATGTCTTTTTTATGTTTATTTCTCTACACATTGAGGAAAACGTGACAAATTGTACGACGGAGATTTTTGGCATGCTGATAAAATTCCATACTTATGAAGCACTTGAAGATAAACCGCGCTATATTGCGGCGCACACAAAGATTGTATTTGTTGACGTCCAGTGGAATCATTGTAATGCCTTCTTTGCACTGCCGTGACAGCTATCAATGGATATTGGTCTTTGATCAGCTGATAAAGCTGGTTAGGTTGGGCCCCTTCACAAAATGTATGCGGTACTATAATCTGTAACACAGTAAAGCGTGATATCCTGTAAAAACACGCTCTTGTCTAGCGCTAAACTGGTTCCACTGTAATTCAATTATTACGTACTAATTTTATTTACAAACGGGCAGGAGGCTCATCTGTTGTTAAGTGATACTGCCAGGGGGATCGCGAGTCCGTTGCCGGCCTTTTACGAATTTTATTATTTACACAATAAAACCAGTGGCGGTACAACCTTTTTAGGTCTGGGTCTCAGATTTCTATATCTATTTCATGATCATTTGTCAATCTAGGCATATAGGTAAATAGGCAAGTAGGTAATCAGCCTCTTGTGTCTGACACAAATCGACTTTTTGGGTCTAAGGCAATCCGGTTTCACCATGTTTTCCTTCACCGTTCAAGCGAATATTAAACGCGCTCATAGACAGAAAACCTACCACCTCGAGGATGAGAATCGCACGCTGAAGCCACTAGGTCAACATTGCTTAAATGTAGCACAAAATAGATATGAATAAAAATAACTATTAGAATTCTATTTGACAGTATGAGAAATAAAGTGTTATTGAAAGAAATCTTTATTAAATATTGCTTTAAAATTGATCAAAAATCCATAATTTAAATATAAGTTATTACAGATCAGTCATGTGAAATATAAAGTTAGTTGTCGAATCGACGATAACGTAGCATGCTTGTAAATAATATATCTTCGCATATATAATCCTTATACCTTTGTTTTTAATTTCGTCGGACACTGTTTTAAATTGAAATACAATATATGAGTATCTGTGTAATTTAAGAATAATTAAAACATAAAAAACTTGACGTTTCTTTACAAGCATGGTATGTCATAGCGACTGGTGCGACGCCATCTTGTCGGGAGAAGCATTTTGGCGGGATGAAATGATGAATGTTTAATTTTTAAAGCATTACAAAATAAAATAAAACAATAATTTGTGTAGATTCTATAGTCATTAATAAATTATCTGAAATAGTTTTGAAAATCTTGCCAAATAGCCTATTTTGATGACATCTAGATTGATTAATATAACGTGTTAACTCTCTATAACGAATTTCAAGGGACCGAGCAGTTTTATTCGTTATAACGAGGGAAGAATTATGTATGGGTATTGGGTTAAACCTAATAAATTATTTAACTATTTTGCATGTTATAGAGAGTGTTTCGTTATAACGAATGACGTTATAAAGAATTTACACGTATAAGGAAAAACTTTTAGATTCTGACTTTAAAAGCATTGTCATTAAGTAAATGTTTCATGTCAAATCATGATTAAAGAATGGTATTATCGGCTTAAAATATTTAATTACCTCAACAGGATTGAAGTAATTTATCTTCGTCAATGTGTGTGTATACAATAATGTGTCACTGAATTGGCAAAGTACTAAGTGTGGGTGTCGTAGGTCCACCGCGGCCATACCTATCTCACCACGAGCCTTACCACGACCTTCAGATATAGCTGCAATGACATAATTAATTTGTGGTTAAAACTTATTTTTGAGTAAAGAATTTTTTGATGTTTTTAGAAAAATTCCAGTCTCCGTGGCGTAGTAGTTATATAACCCTGAAAACAATAATCAGTGCGCGTTGTTATAAAGTCTAGGACTTGAGACAAAGCCACTTAGCGTGACCCATTAACGCGAAACGAATTTATATGGAAATGGTCACGTGACGGAGAGTGCTTATGTCATTCCGGTTAGAATACAAACAATTGATGAAATAGACTTTAATCTTATTCTTTTCCATTAAAGTATGTCAGTTTCAAAGTATGTTTCAAATCCGAAACAGATATTTTTGGTATGCATAAACAGACATTTTTTTAATGAATCAAATTTTTTGTCATTTGTAGCATATTGTAGTATTAAACTTATTCAAATTGTATTGACATACTTTTAATTGTTTGGACTTGCAATTAAACTTATATGACATTTGATTAAAAACTAAGCAATCGTATTATTGTCTAGATTATAATCACTTTTGGAAATACACACCTAATATAACACTGGCTTCTACCATGGATGTACTGGCGGATCTTGCAGACCGATTTCCGCTGAATCCCCCTACATACACTCTCAAATTAATACTTTTAGTACAAGAAGGTTCTTCTGGTGTTAATATCGCTGCCATGTAAGTTTCTATGGATTGGGCGTTTAATTTGGCATTCGAGCGACTATTACAGTACCAATCAAAATCTTTGTGTAAAATATTTAAAAAACTGGGAACCAGATTTATGAACCTAGATTATAAATAATAGGTACCTGTAGTTTTAATGAAGGGACATTTTTATACTATTGTAATTAAAATAATAGGATACTTGATCAAATGGCAAGTGTTAAAATTAAATGAGGTAAACAATTTACTTATACATACCTACTGTCTAATCTGAATTTATCACGATTTAGTGAATCTTAAACAAACGCAAAATATGGGAGAAACAAATAGCAAATACGCAAGTTACCAATAATATAATCTAAGGATATATATTTTTTTGATTATTTCATTGTCTTTTACTATCTTATCATAATACTGAAACCTATAAAGCGTATTTATACACGGCAAGACCTTGCTCAGTGTAATATTAGGTAACTTTTTATTACATCTTAAGAATAGGCTAAGTCTAAATATGTTTTGTTATGTGACAACGGAAACATTACTATTAGCTACGAAAATTATTAATCCAATGTAACGCTTCGATTCCTGGCAGTAGTGTCTACACAGAACATACCATACATAAATAATAAATCATTGACCGTTTTAACTAACTTGGTTTGAACCTGCTCATGTCTCTTTTAATCACAGAGTAAACACAATATGACAGAGAGGAATTACTATATGTAAGAGTGCATTAACCAATATCGTTTTATGAATAAAATCTCTATTAAAACCTCAGACTTTCAGTATTTTTACTCACTTCATAAAGCTCTGTCATATATGCGGTAAATATTGTTTTTTTGTGACTGGAGTCAAACTAGCAGCGGGTTATATAAAGTGATAACCGCCACCGATGGACACCTGCAACGCCGTGGGTAAGCGGGTGTGTTGCCGACCTTTTAGGGAATGGTACACCCTTTGAAGACCCCTAACTCCTAAGTGATATCGGTTTATTCGTTGTCACGTACTAAAACTTACCCCGACTACTGCTACTGATATATCGTATTGCTGTTGGACGATTTTTTGGAGTGGATAAGAATGAGTCGATAGCACTTGAATCATTGGCTAACACTCGCGGTGCTTTGGAGCTCGTTGATGAGTCTAGTTTTGAATTTGACGGTATTAGTCTGTAAACACATATTTTTTAAATTGTATATGAACGTCATCGTTGGAAGTTACAGTCGCGCCTGTCTTAACTCTGAAAAAGACTTGATTTTTTTTGTTCCCAAACATCACACATGATAAAACGAGGAAAGAACAAATCAACGTAATATTTATATACAGAGTACCTACATCGAATATAGAGCAGAAACAGTATGCAAAAGTATGCAAGTTTATACTTTCTTAAAAATACTTGTAATACAAAAAAATTATACTTGCCAAGCAAGCATTGGTATTATTAACACAATATTATCTATGAGCACGCGTTTGCCTGCACGTTTAGTTTATCTTTTGTGTTACATAAAATTAGTCAGCATGAATTTTCGTATAAGGAAAATTATCTTGTTTTTCTATATAATCAATTTTTTTACGAATAAAGAATGTATAAAGTGTGTTCATTTGTTTGGTTAATCTCGGAAACTATTATTTCGCTTGTAATATTTGGTTTGTCTCGGATAGCCCTTGACGTTTCATACATTAGTTTTTTTTATAGAATGGATGCTTTAGTTAAAGTTTAAAACTATAACTTTGATAAGGGACACTTTCTCTTAGTAAAGTTGAAATATCAATAAATAGAAATGATTCCGTAAAAATATATACCTTCTCTTCACATTTGGAGGAGGACCGGACGGCGGACCCATAGGAAACGTCCTTTTTCTTTCCCAAAAATCTTTATCAAATTGATATCTCGGAGTATTAGCAGTAGCACGTCCTGAAATCGGATTGCTCCGGAGCGGCAGTTTAGTTATAGCACCTCGTATTCCTTAATAAAAAATAATTAAGAAAGTATTTTATATTTCAATAAATGCAGTTAGACTATTATTAACTTCTAGTATAATTATCACAATTTCAATGTTTAAGCCATTTTACCGAAAGCAGCATCTCGTCGAACCAAATCATGTTTTACATTTTGTTTAGATTTCTTAGGAAACGTTTCTCTCTTTACAACATTCATTTTACAGCAATCCTTAGTTCTGATATTAAGAGCTAGATAATAATATACCCTTATAATTAATAACTGTTAATTCACTTAATTTTTGTTACTACAAACTAGCGAGTGGCGAGCATTTAAAAATGTTACAAGCCCTTTCCCGCGCAAACATGCCAAAAGACAACAGTCTATGCCCTATGGGTATGGACTATGTTGTTATAGTAAATTGTTGATGGAATGCGAAAATGATACAGAGATCATTCATTTTACAAATTAAATATAAACTTTTAATTTGTCAAGTTATTTATTAGTTTACAGCTCATTGCAGACAATTTAAGTTCAGAGTGAAATAAAAGTTAACAGTACACTGTGTCTTTATTATTTTATAAGGCGACTTCAGGCATGAAATAAAAATATCCGAATGAAATAATCAATTGTATAAAGATTTGTTTCTATTTATATATTTTTTAATAGCAGTTTGATAGCTCTCAACTCCCGAATCCAATTTTCCGGAGGAGACACACACGGCTTTATTTATGTGGTTCTCAATTATCATCAGTCAGAAGTCAATGTTGTATTTAAAATATGTCAAACACAGCTGATACAACTGGCTGGCTTTAAAAAATAATTTTGTTTGTTTATTATTTTTATAAGATCTAAAAATTCATAACAGCAATAGATGTTACAGAAATAGAGCAAGAATGATGGCGCTATTCATGTAAGATTATTTATTATTTTCAAAAGGTAAGATGTGATGTTGTAGGGTGTGTGTTGCAAGGTTAACTAGTTTAATTAATTCTAATTTGTTAGTTTGCAATGAGTCAGCATTAGTTTAAAAATGTTTTTATACCTGTAAGTGCCCGCGACCGTAAACATTGGTCCTATTAATTGTAAAACACCACTAGTAAATGACGACCTTAACTCCTACACCAGGATATCCTCATTAAAGAGTAAGAAATATATTGAATTGGTATTGTCAAATACATCATTTTCTAACAATATTTTTAAGCCACTTATATTATGTAAATATCCAATAGAATAATATGTTCAGTACCTATACATTTAAATAGATATAGAAAAAAAAATATATTAGATTTATACTTGCTTATTATTCAAACAATCCTTCTAATTTCATATAGGTGGTATCAGTCAATAATATCTGGATAATACTAGTTTCAATGAATTGGCACAATAATATCTTACCAATTTATTGATGGTTGACTGATATATTTTGCTTGTTCTTATTGTTATAGTTGTAAATATACTAAATAATCCTTTATAATTAGAAACATGTTATGTTTCTCTGCATTTTCCTTTAGAACTCATTATTTATTTATTGTAAATATTATCAAACACTGTAAGACCGCATGGTTCATACAAGTATGAAAGATATATATGTAATATCATTGTATTATCTTTGTATTGTTCTATTTACTAAAAAACGCGACAGCATGATGAGTTGCATAATAATTGACCTTAACCATCTCAATATCATTGTTATTTAATTTTATTTATAAATTATAAAAACATAATTAACTCTCAAATAGTATTGAAGAATAAAATAATAAAAATAGGTAGACTGTATAACTAGTAACTAATAATTTCACTAGTCCAAAACGGGTTAACAAATATTTAAGAAATTCTGTATAATTGGTAGATATGAATATATGGTGTAAAGTTTTCCACCAATTATTAGGCTCAATTTATGTGTCTGTCATAAGTCCCAATGTAGCAGATGGACAATTGAGTGTCTAAATTCAAAACCTACTTACTTGGTATATGCTGAATGGTTTTTGATGTATAGTTGTAGTATAATTAAAGTGTAACCAAAGTGTAACTATTGGTGTTGTTAATAATAATGTATTATTTATTTACTAATATTGTGTTGGATAGTCTATTTATCAAGGAAGACTATAAATTTACTTTACAATGCATTTAACAATGGTAAAACTGTGGCTCATCTACCACAGTTTTAATATAATACATGTTAATGCATAAGCAAACTGTATATTTAAACTTATTAACAATATTGTAACTCCACTTTAGGGCTTTACCCATTATATTTGTTTATAACTCTAATCTAACTCTTTATTTAAAGTACAGAACATAATTTAAAAAAAATTGCTAGTTACATAATAACTTTAGTTGATAAAATCATCTAATAGAGTCTAAAATAAATATAATTCTTAGCTAATATTACTGTTTTTTTTTTCTTCTGTAACTTTTAATTAGCAATTATGCAATGAATAGTTCTTATCAGACTTAGCGACTAAATCATGAAGTCTGTGCATGATCACAATAATAACCTTGTTGGGAAATTGAATTATGTAAATTTTGTTATTATTTCAATGTTCAAAATCCAAAGATATCATCAAATCAGCTTTAAATTTTTCTATTACTTTTAAAGGCCTTCTAAGTATTACCTATGACATGTAATTAAATTTTGCATGCTAGTGGACCATTATTATCAATTAAAATATGACAGTGATAATATATATTTTTAAGTATAATAGATATGATTAAACCTGTTTTGGATAACAAAAGAAAAGCAATTTTATTCCTAAAAAAAGATAAATAATAATATGTTTTCAAAAGACAAAACAAACACTAACTTCATTATTTTAAATATCATAGTTAAACACAATTTTATATTTAATTATATCAGTATGAGCTATAAGCCATGTGGCTCTAAGCACATATTGTATATATGGTTAAAATATCAAGGCTACAACCAATTTATACTTTATGATTAATAATATTGCTCATAATAAAATATTAATCTTAAATCTCTCCAGTCTCCGATTTTACCTCCATTTACAGGTCTCAAATTATTTTGTACATGTATCTTTTGGTAAGGATTCTCTGTAACTTTGACATTGTTTTTACAAAACAAGAATAATCAGTGCCATTAACATCGGCCGCAAAAAAGATAAGGCGATTTTCATTCGACGCAAATGGCGAAGCAATCGTTTCAACAAACACTCCATACTGTTATATCGCGAGTGAAAGAGACAACTGTGGGATCATCGCCCCTACTTCAAAATTCGCCACTGTCTAGCATATGTCTTTAATGGAGATAATGTTTGACGTCATTCATAGTACGTAGCTCTCAGAGAAAAGTCTTGTAGCTCGCATCATAGCCTTATCTTGTTGCGGCTGGTAAATAAAAGGCGATAACGCGCAACGAAGTTTACTGTACTATATGATATCACATTCAACGGAGGCGTGTTCGTGACGGTTTCCGGTCAAGTGGGTTTTACTAATTAATAGTTTATTCAAAACGAATGCTCCGCAAATACGGTCGGTAAACACGTTGTTTTGAACGATAAAATAATAAATCTTAGTACACAGTGAAAATGGCTCTAAGCAGGTATTTTTATAAAGCATTTTAGCATGTATGCATGAAAACTAACATTTTGGCATTATATCACATGGTCATTTTGATAAGTGTAGTAATAATCCCAAGTAAAAGTTGCTTTGATTATAAGTCAGCTAGTTTCCTTCGTGTTTTTGTTGACAAGGTTTATGGGTTTATTTTCCTTTCGATTGACGCACAAAATTTGCGTTGATAATTGAGGAAAATAGGTTTTTCATTTAACCATAATTACCACAGGATAACTTGAATATTGTTAGTTATAAAACAATTTTCAATACAACAGGAGAAATCATTATATTATTTCAATGATAGTTGACTATTCATAAACTTTAGACGTTGCTTGAATGCATATTTGTTATTTAGCAAGGTTTGACCAAGTTTATTCTTTCTTTTTCATATAGTTTAAAATCAAACCTTCAATTCGCCACCCTAAAGACACTGTCTTTAGTATCAATCAGTGCGATGACTCCTCAACAAAGCGTCAAAGAGGTGTTGAGGACAGCTGATTGCGTGTGCTTCGATGTCGATTCAACAGTCATCAAGGACGAAGGAATTGACGAGTTGGCGAAATTCTGCGGAAAAGGCGAAGATGTTAAAAGACTGTAAGTAAAATTCATAGACTATAGAGTTGATGTTGTGTATAGTGACAATGTACACTTTCTGTCTAGTATAACTTTAATACAAGGCCTGAGGCTTGAGACAAAATCACTTTGGACACTCAGGAATTTGTATGAAAATAGCATTAGCTCACGCTAAGTCACGTGACTATTTATATACATTTTTTTTTGAGTTAGTGGGTCACGCCTGCCGCAGTGTATTTGTCTCAAGCCCCTGGAATTTGTATTACAAGCGCTGATAGAATGCAGATTATTACGGTCCCGGCTGACCTTAGCAATATACAGTAAATAGGTGACGTAATACATTGGTAAAAATGCATAATTGTATGAACAAGTTAAACGGCACTCCGTAAATTGGAAAGTTTAAAATGAAATCTTACATCTATTTCACAAAGTTGGTATCCCTGTCCAAAAACTTAGTTATCTTACGTATTCGTGTAGTTAACTTAATGGGAATACTTGTTTTAAGGAATGGTTTATATAGGGAGTAACATTATGAAATAAACAAAGTAACTCGGAACAAAATTGAAATCTTATCTTTGCAAATGACATCAACTAGAGTATCTTTTTTTAATAATAAGTTTAAATATCAATATGACATAATAAAAATCATTACACGCGTTTCAAGCAAAGTAAAAACACCGAATAAAACTTGTTTAATTATCATAATTAATTATTTGGAATATAAAATATTTTGATTGGCTAAAATAATTTGTTATTGAGATTACGTATAAAACTTGGCTTTTAAAGGTAAAATAACTTGTAAATAATCATTACTTCAATCTTGGACTTGGGTTGACCGTAGTGATGGTATACAAAAACGAATACACACGTCAAACGGGTTCCATTTTCAAATAAAAATAGGTGATTTTGAACATATTTACATTAGCTTTTATGTTTTTGTTTTGTAAATATACATATTTCTACCTAAAAATACTGAGTATCGAATTGTAATATTTCCTCAACGTCAACTTTCGCTGCGGTCGAAGTCGAAAATTTTTTGGTTCATATAACATAATCACTTTTTCTTATGCCTTAAAATAAATCATTGTTGGCCTAGTGGCTTCAGCTCTCTTCCGTGAGGTCGTACGTTCAATCCCCGGCTGTGCTCCAATGGACTATCTTTATATATTTAACATTCGCTCAAACGGTGAAGGAAAACATAGTGAAACCGGCTTGCCTTAGACCAAAAAGTCGACGGCGTGTGTCAGGCACAGGAGGCTCATCGCTTACTTGCCCATTAGCTTGTCAAATGATCATGAAACAGATACAGAAATCTGAAGCCCAGACCTAAAAACAACTGCAACTGATTTTTTATTTTTTTTTTAAACTATACAAATGTTTGACTAAATACATTTATTTACAATCAAGTATACAGTATTTACAATTTTCATAACCTACAAAGTAATAATAAAAGTAATTAAAAAGAAAATCAAAACAAATTTAAAAAGTTTGGTCCCTGTGGCAGTGTATCTTTATTCTTTAACGCTAGCAGCATTTCCTCGCTGTATTGCGATACTTATTCGTTGAGCCAGGAAAGTGCCAGCTCTGGGGTCACCGGTACTATCTACCAGGCGCCAACTTAAATCTTTAATAGGCGCCTGTGCACTTGAACCCCACGGCCTAAGAGTCTCTACTCCAAAGGGAACAAAATCGAAGTTGGAGGAAATACTCTTATATTTGTGGCGTTTATTATTTTCTGCCTGCTTTGCAGCCGCCCCAGCTTTATTGCTTGACTAAATTATATTTCGACTGCGCACATTACTGTTGGTGGCGTGAAATAATTTATATATTCATTTCAGAACTGCAGAAGCGATGTGCGGTAACATGACGTTCCAGGAGGCGTTAAAGAAGAGGCTGGATATCATACGACCCACCGTCGGCCAAATTAAAGAATTCTTAGAGAAATTTCCTATTCACCTTACACCGGGTGTTGCGTAAGTTATAATACTTTTGTTATATATTTAAGACAGAAAATAAATCAAAGTCTGACGTATTGGTTAACGAATAGGTCTTAGCTTCGATCGTGGACATATGAAGGTATGCAAGCACCTACCTTAGAAACATGAATCAAACAGACACAGAATTTCGCCCCTATTATGGGACATTATTTGCTTCGCTCCTTTTTTGTCTGTAGTTTTTAAATAGAGGCCACACGGGCAGGCCTGATACTGAACGTAGGCTCGCAAGTGCGTTGCCGGCCTGCAAAATACTGCCCATAATAGAAAAAGTAAATAAATGTCTTCTAGTCGAGCACTTTTTTCGAGATGACATAAAAAACGAGTGGAGCATGACGTACAGACCCGAGCGGTAACGCAAGTTCAGCTCTGTACGTCGAGAGCAAACAACGTTACGGCAAGAGAACGTTGAGGTATTTGCTACCGCGGCTAATAAATGGTCTATATCAGATATTAGATGGCCTAACGCCAACCAACATAAACAGTAAATTAAAAAACTACTTTTATATTTATTTGTCGCGCTTCTTAACAATACTGCTATGGTTACATTAATACAAACCACAGCGGTTTTCTAATGTAACATATTGTGATTATATTATATTATTTTGTAAAATAAAGAAATTCAAAATTGGTACGCTCCTTTCTCGAAGGACCCTAAGTAAAATCCATAATTGTGTCCATATCTAACTTAGAATGAAAAGAATTTATTACATTATTTAAGTAATAAATAGTATAGTGTATTGAATGAATGTCTTAACAGACAATACATCGAAGCTAAATATTTTTTTTCGTGAATTGTAAAGTTAATTTGTATTTTTTACAACGCCCATGAAAGAAATACAAGTCTTGTTTGTATATGTTTGCTAATAAATTAGCTTAGGGAAGACGAACGCCGATATAAAGTTGTACTATCTGCAAATATATATTGGTTGTTTTTAGGAATGAATTTCTATTATTAGATTACGATATGAGGTAGATAACAAAGTGCAATATTTGCAATAATAATATACTAACCGCCCCCGCGAACTGCCTTTCGTATTAATAACATTTTATTAAGGCAACGTTTTTAGTAGCTACATACCAACCAATATGGAACACATACACCCCATAGAGACTGTTCACTTTTCAAGAATAAAAACCTAAATACTAAATAAAACTAAAATTTGAACTTTTTATGTCCATAAAAACCTTCCTCAGAGTTCAAAGAATAAAAAAATACTCGAATTGTAATTGTCGCCTTCTTCGAAATATGTTTTGCGATTCATTTTTATTTATATAAAATATTTTTAACGATGTTTCGTTTGTTTTGTTGATGCGATGTTTCGTACGACAAATGAGTTATTCTATCCGCCGGTTTACGTTACGTTACGTAAATGCATGCTCCTATATCACCGCGCCTTGCTGAGATGAAACGTTCTTATTTATTTAATTATAAAACAAAATATAACCGTATCACCGTCCGTAGTTCCATAACTGAGCGTTTCTTAAGGTAATTTTTCCGCGCACCACCACTATGTTTTTCGAACCAAATCGACTTAGAGTCTTTCAAGAAAAGAGCGTATCAATTCTTAAAAGGGCGGTAGTGCATTTGCGAGCCTTCTGGCAATGTGAGTGTCATGGGCGGCGGTATCACTGAACATCAGGTGAGCCTCCTGCCCCTTTGCCTCCTGTAACATAAAAAATAAATAACTGCTTTAAAATGATGAGAAGCAAGATGTAATATTTGCTTACAAACATTTTATAAAAAATACGTTGGCGATTTAAAAGAGTGACGGGGAGTTAATTGCCAGTTCTTCTCGTCCGTTTTGAGCCCTTTAAGAACTGGCAGTAAATATTAAATTTTTATTGACTTGATTTTACTATGCAAAATTTATCTTAAAATCGTGGATTATAGGTAGTTTCGGTTGCCATAGTTACTACAGTCTAGAAACAAGACAGCTGTGTTGATTCAGAAAAACACGTTTCCTTTCCTTTTATTTCACGTCCGTTTTGGTTAAATTTCGCCTGTGTATAATGAAATATTTTTATTATTGAATCATACGTGAGGTCATTGCGATAGTAAAGTGGTATTAACCAGATAGTTTCTTGAACTTATGACATGTTTTTATATCTACAAATATAATAAACACTTTTCGCTGAATCTTAAGGATTTTTTTAGGACTGACAGGGTTTAGAGAGTAGCGTGTACTTTAAAAAAAAGGTTTTTCATTATAATATAATTTTTTTTTTTCAATTAAAATTTTGAATTTTTTTAACGAAAATTAAATTCCTCCTAATTTTTTTTAACGAAAAGCATTACGCGATGTACCACGCGTTAGTGTATAAGTTACGGGTAGACATACTTAAAAAAATATTTTCGAATACTTTGAGCGATGCTGACAATAATTAAATAGTTGAGTTTAGAGTTGATTTTTAGTATAATAGTTTTAGCTTCAATAGACTAACACTTAAGTAATAAAATATAAAACATACACAGACACACACCCACACACATACACATAATTTACACATACACACGTACTCCATCTGGTTTCCTCTATATACTATATATTGTAATGTATTGTATTGTATTGTATCTTCTGTCAATCCGAAGTAGTGGAGGCCTGATGACCTGTAACACAGGTACTCTTACCTTTATCAGGCATCAGTCTCACACAGACTTGCTTTTTCCATTAACAGAAGTGAGAATATAACTGTCACTTGCCTATGTTCTAAGTTTAAGTTTTTGTGAGAAAAATAAATAAATAAATAAATAAAATACTATCTTTATATGAGGAATGATCAATTAAATATAAAATAAGAAAAAAATTCATTCTCTTTTCCAGGGAACTAGTGAAGGTACTACAAGAACGAGGTGTGGCCGTATATCTTGTATCTGGTGGCTTCAGAAGTCTCATTGACCCAGTGGCAGATCTCCTTTCAATACCCAGGAGTAATGTTTACGCCAACAGACTCAAGTTTTACTTTAATGGTAAGGAATTTAAGAAAATATTGCAACCGCTAAGGATGTGAACAACTTCGCGATGTTAGCCTTCGGGCCATTAGAGGAAAAGCAGCAACTTTCCTCCACAAAGCACATAAATACATCGAGTACCAGCACAGTTTTCCATATATTTCTTTTTAGTTTACTGTAGGAATAATATTTCATTAGAATATAATATATGACTATTAAACATCGCGTTCATCGCAAACAAACGCGTAAACCAAGTTTTTGTTTAACTATTGCTTTTAAAGACCAGCTATCATTACCCCATGACACATGAGATACTGAAGCAATTATTAAAAATAAAATATAAGTATAATAAAAAAAAGTTTAGCGTCTATCAACTACTATCACTAGTCGTGGCAAAATACTAGTTATACTGAGACTAAAACGCAAACACGTATTAGAGCGCAATTAAAATTAATATTTTCACCCCGTGCACGAATTCAAGTCCGACCACTCACCACAAGTAACACTCGTTCCATTGCCCTACTAACCCTAGATACTAGATAATTAGGTTCAAGCATGGCAATCAAGGCCGGCGACGCACTCGCAAGCCCTCTGGCGTTGATAGAATCCATAGGCGGCGGTGTCGCTTAACATCAGTTGAGCCTCCTGTACGTTTGCTAACGTTCTATAATAAGAACAAGTACATCAATATTTAGAAAATCGGCATAAATTTCATTAATTTATATCGCTATGGGCATTCCTAATCCAGTCGTTCTATACTTTATAAACAATAAATAGAAAGCAATCTAATTATACTTTAACCTGACACACTGACCATATAATTATATTACAGACGATAGGGTTGTCACGTACAACTTTAATGTAAAAGTAGGATTATCGCAAATAGGACACAAATATGATATTTTACAGTTATATTTAGTTCCTAATTCTTTGTGAAACTGTTACCTATTTTTAGCCATTCTTAGGCACATTCTAGCTCTATCTTTTTTTAATTATCTGAGACGATAGACACGCCGAGAGATCTTTATTTCAAAAGCAGCTGTTTGTTTTAACGCTGAAATCGCTTAAAATAAAGCATTTTTTATTTCCATATCCTTCAGTCACATGTCGAGTATTGTTAGAAGTGTTTAATTATTACTTATAGCTAAATGTTCGTCACATGTGGGTGACGTGTGTGGACCCCTCTAGGGTGAAGGCCTCTTCAACATCTTTCCAGATGTGTCTATCTTTGCTTGTCTTCAAGTTTATACTAAGTCATCAAGCCCTTCTTTTTCGTTTACGCACAGAAATCGCTTATATGAAACAATAGTTGACATTAGAACCCAAATATTTTGTAATGGCACTGACTATACAGGCTGTTACATTGCAGTCTCTTTAAAGGAAAAAAAATTGAAAAATCCATTCGACTTTCAGCCCTAAATATAAACCTACACGAGTACATTGATATGGAGACACGCCTCTGTCACGGGTTGTTTGATAACACTTATACATGACACCCGGTTAAAGAAATTCCCTTTGTTGGACCTACCAATGGAAAATCTGTACAAGGAAAATTATTATAAAATCTACGTAAATGTAATCTAATCTATCGTACGTACGTTTCTGGCAATGTGAGTGTCCATGGGCGGCGGTATCACTTAACATCAGGTGAGCCTCCTGCCCGTTTACCTCCTATTACATTAAAAAAAAAATTAGGTCTGGGCCTCAGATTAATGTATCTGTTTCATGATCATTTGTCAATCTAATAGGAAAGTAGGGGATCAGCCTCCTGTGCCTGACACACGCCGTCGACTTTTGGGGTCTAGGGCAAGCCAGTTTCTTCACAATGGTTTCCTTCGTACGAGCGAATGTTAAATGCGCCCATAGACATACAGTACCTAATTGGTGCACAACTGGGGATAGAACCTATGACCTCAGGGAGAGACGCTGAAGCTACTAGTCCAACACTGCTCAAAAATACATCAAACTGTATGCAATTTAAAATAAAATCAGCTTGAACCATTTCATCTAATGACAAATTAAAATTCTGTAATAAAAATCTAAATTTACCGCCAGTTCTTAAATTAAGGCGTAAGATGAAAAGAACTGGCAAGTAATTCTCAGTCATTTTAGCAAGTTTTTTCTTATAAAAGATATGTATTTATATACTAAGAAGTAGGTATGTATTTAGATATTCTTAACGTCATTTGAGTTGCATTTAGGTCGATCATACTTGGGAATTCAAATTTGAGTTGAGTTGAAATTGCGTAGTTTTTGCAAAACAATATAATTTTTTTTATCGCGATACTTCTGCCAAGGTAAACTTTGTCGCCTTGATAGATTATTGCGTTTGTTAAATAAAATGTGATTAGATCGGAGATCTTTATATTAAAATAAAATAAAATATTTTGATTATGAAACATAAGATACCGGTATCACTTATTCCACGTCATTAAAATCGGTAGGCATCCCTACTCATCGACAAAGAAGACAGAGGGTGTAGGCCGAGAGAAAAAGTCGGTGTCAAAAACTATCGGTACTGGAGATTGCTGCCGTTTTTTGATAATTTCTATTTCATAGACAGAATGTCCATTGGTGCACGGGTGGGGATCGAACCTTAGGGATGAGTGTTATGTTGAAACCACTAGGCCAATACTGCTTATATATTCTAAATACAAGGGCAAAAAATGTTCCTTTGAAAGACAAAACAAATACAATGATGAACTTTACTACATTCTCTACTAGTAAGTAAGTAAGCAAGTAAAATACAGATTATAGCAATGCATATATTATATTTATAGTAATGCGGATTAAGTGAAGTGGGTTCTTCTCGACCTTCGCTATATATATTATCGTGGTATACATTGCAAGACAATGTACCAGCTATGACATTAAACTATATTTAAGAGATATATTCTCAAACGGCTACTGGCTAGGGACGAGGAAGTGTCACATTTGGTACAGGATTTTTGTGATGCTGTGCGCATACGTTCCGTGGTTGTATGTAAGAGTTATATCAGTAAAACCCCAGTTATCTTCTTTATTTAAATTTTGGTTAAGGCTTTAAAACGACTTTATTATTATGTAGTATACTGACGCATTATACAAATGAGGTTAGTTTACAAATAAACAGTTATCAAGCAATTATAGTTATCAGACCCCACTTGAATTGACGGATTAAATGATGTAAATTAATACAAAATTATCTCAAGCGTTTGTAATGTCTCATTGCTATGTAATTTGTTTATTATATTGCTATTATGGTTTTAATGAATTAAGAAGGGAATTAGTATACTTTAGAGTTAAAAAGTCACCCCCATAAAAACTAAATCATTCACTACCGTTGGCTACCAAATCCGCTATTTTGCTAGTTCTATTGGTTTTTTGTAACATATTATGATTGTCATATATTTTTAAAAAGATAGCTTGTAACATACTATTGATATTGATTTACGTACGATGTGGTGAACTTTGATAATAAAATAAATCAGTCGAATTGCTCCGTTTCAACTTATGTACTTATGTCTCTATCATCACAGAGTGAACACAATTTGAGAGAAAGGGACGAAAGAGATCGATAACGATTTAACTTTTATTAATATCTATATGTATCTTACCATTATATTTAGTAGACTGCAGGTAAATGTTTAATTACTATAAAAAACCTTATGTTTTCATGGTAAACTTATGTTGACGTACCTAAAAACGGGGCCCTTCTGAAACTTGACTTCTCCCGGGGGATAGGCGAGAACGCCAAATGAATTTGTATGGAAATGGTCACGTGACAAAGCGTGAGCTAATGTCATTGTCATACAAATAATTTTGGCGTAAAGTGATGTTGTCTCAAGCCCCTGATCTTAATGAGTTACACGATGTCAAGAAGCGACGGATATTAGTAAAACATCGAATTTGCATACAGACACGTGGATTGGTATTGCTGTCGCTGGTAGAAGTTACAGTAAGGCTTATTTTTATTACAAAATTACTAAAAATAAGTATTTTCTCTTTTTTTGACGTGACGTCTTATAATTCTATGGAGCCGGCTGCACGCACAAAAAAACATGACGCATGCGGTGTTACCTCGCTCTGAGGCGTTCCATTTAAGGCTTGAAGTGAAAGCGAGAGCGCGGAACGAGCGACAAAGAGGCACAATTGGCCTCCGCGTTCGACATCTCTCTCCTACTTGAGTGAGCGATGCGTCCGCGTGGACAGCTGCTATACAATAATACATATATATATTTTCGTCAAGTATGAAGTGCTGTGTTTTCAGTATTTTCTCATGACGTTGTCACGTTCAACTATCGTCAGTAAACCGACTTTACAGACAACCGATTTTTTTAATAAATAAAATGAACTGACAAGATTACGGAACTTTTGCAAAATACACTAGACGATAAAGAAAGATTATAATTTTTATTGATCATGAAATCGCTGCGTGAGGTTTGTGATAACAGATTTCCGATGAATAAATGACTAATATTATTTAAAGTAGTCCGTGAGATGTTTACGTGGTTATCAAGGTCAAATTCGCGAATTCGATTAGAAAAATCTAGAAATAATATCGATTTGAATAGCCGTGTTTGCAATAGAAAAGTGTTGGTTTGTTTTAAGATTTTTGAGTAAACCTATCATATTATTTAAAAAAATCTGCGCTTTAACCTCTTAGGAGTTTAGGACTGGCGCTCAGGTTTTTGTAAAATGCAAATTAGCGAACTATGGAATCGTCTCCCGGTGTGGGTCTTTCCTGCGATATACGACTTCCAATATTTTAAAGAAAGAGTATATTCCCCACTCGGCCGGCAATACCCACGTCCGTGTGCCCCGTATCCTATAAAAAAAGTGGCCCTGCATTGTCTTTACAATCGTTTTAAGCATAAACGAGATTACTAAATCAGTCAACAAGTTACGTCACTGATAATTGCAATCTTGGTGTGTTGTGAGAATTAGACCAAACGCTTATCAATCCTTTGTTAACTAATTACAAGGATTTTGTAAACAAAAGATTTCTAATTGCAGGGCCCCGAATAATCTTGATAATTTCTCGGATAGCCCATCCGATTACAGGAACTTATCGCTCCCTCATGGGTTTCTCGGGATGCTTTATAATTTGAGGTCCTTTGTTTTGTAATCCTTTGGTAATATTTATCATTGTAAACTCATTATAATCGAAATGTTTGTGCACGCTGTCCGGATCTCAAAATTCAAAATCATTTGTTCATATAGGTAACACTATGTACACGTCAAAATATATATGAAATGCTTCTAATATTACATTTACTGCTACTTCTCAAATCAAGGGCGTAGAACGGAAGAGAAAAACTGGCAGTAAACTGTCCGCCACTCTTTTTAATCGCCAAGTTTTGTTGTTTTACACAACGTTTGTAAGGAGCTGCAACCATTACACAATGTTCCACATGACATCTTAAGTAATAAATAATAATAAAATAAATTAAAAACAAAGGTTTGTCCTCAATCGGCATGGTGAAATAGGAGTACGCACTTACACTCTCGTGGAATCTATAATCAAAGCCCACACATGGTTATAATTGTTACAACTTGTTTTTTACTGTATTAAATTATAATATAACATTCGGGTAACACTCAAATAATTAAAGACTTCTGATTTAAGGTTCTTCTCGTCCTGTCTACTCCCTTCATTGACGTTTATGATTAGCAAGAAAATGCATCATTTTTTTTCTTTCTCCAGGTGAATACGCGGGTTTCGATGAGAACGAGCCTACGTCTCGGTCTGGTGGCAAGCCCCTGGTAATAAGGCGACTGAAGGAGCAACACGGCTACCAGAAGCTGGTTATGATTGGAGATGGTGCAACTGACGCGGAAGCCAGTCCGCCCGCTGATGCTTTTATTGGTAAGATCTCTTTTACTGGTTCAGAATAATATAGACTTGGACTTCATGACTTTTCTATACTTAATCAAAACCCAATTGACTAACAGATAGAACCTATTGTTCTACGATGTTTTTTTTCTTCACCTTATATTCATAAGTAGAGTGAATAATGTTCCTTTTTATATTAGTGAATCAATAATGCTTGTGAGCATCACAGGGACAGCTGATTATGTCCTTGCCTGTAAGTAATTGATAATAATTTGCATGTGTTACGCAACTTTACACAAATTGTTCCTCTCCAGGTTTTGGCGGGAACGTCGTACGGGAGGAAGTACAGAAGAGAGCGCCCTGGTTCGTAACAAGCTTCCAGGAATTGACAGATGCTCTCAAAGTTCAAAAGTGATCTTAATGACAATGACATTACGGCTCCTGTGACATAGCCACAGATAATGTAGAACAATACCACAGACACGGTAGTTCTATGTTATCTGTGACTTTAATGTACGTATCGTACTTTGATATATTATTTAAATAATACTCATCAAATATATACTACATAATGTTGTATTTTGGTTAATGTTTGTTAATATAATATAATAAATAAATGTATGGCATTCACAAGGTTATTAAATTACGTTACTAGTGTTCGTGAAATATGTATGTATTATTAAATAATAATTATGACAAAATAATGATTCTAATACAGAGCCTTATGCCTTAATAATAATAAATTTCCTATATATTTTAACTAATATTTGTTTCTCTTTGTTTTTTAAACCACACAATAGTAAATACTATTTCTAGAAAAAAAGTGTCTGTATATTTTTTTATTATACAGACTTTTATTTACTGGCCATAAAATAAACTTATGAGAAATATTTATGTGGTATACATTGTTAAGTATTAAAATAGTAAATACTTTTTACTCGCTCTTTCTAAGGTGGTACAACATATTTTTAGTATAAAAAAAATTTATATACTGCCATAATGTCTTCCCGTATATATTTATGTTATTGTACTTTGAGTACAAAATTTATGGATTTGGTTGTGTGGTGTATGTGATTAATGTTAGTTAAATTGTAGGAAATACAATGAATGATAATTTATTTACGGACCTCAGTCAATGTAAAATGGCTGTGTAACCTTCTACTTTAAGAATAAAGTTATTTGATAGTTATTTGGCATTTTTATTATATTTGTTAAGATCTACGATATGAACCACGTCTCTATGCTTCCTGTTGAGTAATTCAATTTTATCGTAATTATTAAATATTAATAAAAATTAACACTAATAATGATTAATTTCATTTAAGAGAACAATTTCCGTACCATTATTTTTTATGTAACAACAGGCAAACGGGCTGGAGGATCACCTGTTTAGTGATACTTCCGTCCGCACACTGCCAGAGAGCTCGCAAGTGAGTTGCCGGCTTTTTTTTAGAATTACGTACGCTCTTTTTACGACTTAAAGGCCGGGACCCGGCGACCTACCCCAGCCCCATTAAAAACAAAACCACTAAGATCAATATTAGAACTTTATACCTTTGACTGTAATAACTCATTCAATTTCATATCCCGCATATTGGTCATGAATTCTAGTGCCATTTTATCGGGTATAGGAATGATACCGAATTGATGGTTTTTCCCGAGTTTCACATCAAAATCATCATAATTATCCGCTCGTCGTCCATCCTCATTTCTTAACAAATGGTCTATTAAATCTATCCTTCGGTACTTCGAACATTGACCTCCAAGACACTTCTTTTTCTTTCCCAAAAGCAATCTCTTTTTATTGAAAAAAGGAGACGTAGACAACCCAAAACCGGGCAACTGTTTGATTTTAGCATACGTTGGCGTAGAAGACGTTATTTCCGATAAATCGTCTGTTTTTGTTGATGGTGTTGTTGTTGTGGTAGTCGTTGTTGTCATTGTTGAAGATGTAGTTGTTGTTGATGTGTTTGGAGTTGATTTCGATGTGATAGCAACGACAAGGGGAACTGGATATGGAACGAATACTAAAGATTGCGAGTTACAGTTATCGCATATGGAGACGCAGCAGGGTTTTATATTTTCGCAATTTCTACAAGAGCATCTACAATTTGCTCTTCCATAATCGTAGTTGGAATCTGCGGAATACTCGGGGAATTTTCCACCACTTCGTCGGTGAAACCTGCTTTGCCTACCTAATCTTCTATAGTCATATTCATCGTAATATCTTTGCTGATATGGCATATATCCAGGTGTGTCTATAAATTGGCTAAATGTGCTGTTGAGAATCAACAATTGTATGAGGAATACTTGTATCTGTGAATAGATTAGAAAAAAAGTGAGATTAAGCTACAGATTAAAATTCCTATTAAGCAAACATACGTTTATACATTTAGGAACTCTGGTATCCTACTACGAGTACTATATATAATAACTACTATTATTATAACAATATATATTTAGGCACTAAAATTTCACATGAAATGCGGGGGACACATGAAGAATCTCCTCAAATTTTTCAAATAGCAATCTAGTTTTCTTGAGTAAAGAGGGATAAGTCCTAAATAAGCAACAGCAATACTGTACCAATGGGATTTGCGCAAATACAACAATGTTTAACATGGATTTCTGCCGACTGGCGTGGTGTTTTGAATATTTGCCACATTTTGAGTATATTTTACAATGATATTTAATATTTCTCCTACGTCATATCGTCATAGAAACGGTATTTCACTTACCATATTCATAGTACTTACCAGAAATTTTCCATTACATTTTTTATAACTTTATGACATTGTGTATATCGAGTAACAACATTATTTTATTTTTATGAGTGTCGTAAACACAATGTAGTTTTACTACATAAACGTTAAGATATTGGTAAAATTATTGGTCCCACAATTCCGCAATTTGTAGACACATTTCTGTCTTTTTCATTAATAGCACTTATAATAATTACTAAACGACCTTGATTATTTTTATATTGAATAAAATTATGCATCTTTAAACGCGCCTGGAAAATTTACATTTGGCATTGCTCCGATCATTTTGAAAGGCGCATTTTTTAAAAATGCGCCTTTCAAAATGATATATTCTACTGTTTACTTCTTATACAAATATTTTAGATAAACGTACTTGTAGGTAGTCATCTTCAATGGATGACAGGTGACTTGGCAAATACTAGAGTAGGCTCATAGTACCCACAGTATTTTCAATCCATACATACAACAAATTTGCTTGACTATATTTGCATTTGAGTTTAATTGCCTTAAACAAGCAACTAAAGCAAAATCTTATGCTTATGAAGGAATTACAAAAACTTTTTAAGTTATTCAACGAAATACACGCCATAAAAGAAAACTCAAATATGTAAAGGAACTTATTTCTCGCATCATAATGGTTAAAGTTTAACGAATCACAGATTGACTGGACCATTAAAATTGAAATAAACCCGTACATAAGATGAGTTGTTAGCGGTTAACGTAAATGAATATTTAGTACCCCATTGGCATAAGTCACCGCCCACTCATTTAGCGGGCGCTGATAGAATGCAATGCAATCTTGTTCTGATTATCATCTGACCTAAGGCAACCTTGGCGTTTTGCAATATCGGAATTTATCAAGAAATCCAAAAACTAAGTAACATATTAAGATATGATGTTAACTTTATTCTGGACTAAACAAAAGAGTTTAAAATAGAATTTAAAATATTGTCAAGGAATAAATAAATTTATCATTATTCCTCAACATTAAAAAAAGTAATTTAAAAAATCTTTAATCTCATAGTCAAAGGCGTAGTTTATATTAGTAGATACATTTTCCTTTTTTTGAGGCAAGGAATTATATTTATTATGGCTGTGTCTCTATACTATAATTTATATTTCGTCTGTACTATAATTTATATTTTAGCTACAAGAACGAAAAAATCTTTAATGAAGGGTAAAATAAATATAATCAATTAGAGATTTATTCATTTAAAATTAATTTGTATCACATTTCTGTTTCGTAAAGCTTATAAGTTTTATTTAGCTGATATAAAATAAAAACAACTTTTTGTTAATATATGAAATGAATTATTTTGTTATAAATCTCATAAAATATCTAAGACATGCAAATAAAGCGTAAATAAGGAAGCCTCGGAATCGCTTGAACCGTCGAACTTTCAACTCTAAAAATATCGTTGTGACTGGTGAGGGGTCACCACACAGTCATAACACACACGCATCGCCTCCTGAAAGGTCACACTGAATTCTGAATTGCCGAAAAATCTATCGATATATCAATGTGAAGTGATTTTAGTGCTTGTGTTTGATTGTGATTCGAATTAAGATGAATCGTAAGTGTATAATTTCTAATCTTATTCAAGCAACCAAATTGATAGCTTAGCAAAAAATTAAACAATTCGACATTAATGAAAATGTTAAATAACATCTAAATGTAAAAAACAAAGTCATGATAGTTACTCCACTAACTCAAGATCGGCTGGACCGATGTTAGTTATCTATTTTTTGGTAGATTATTTTCCCTTCCGAATAGCAGAATAAGTAATAAAATATCGGATAAGTTATTTAAAAATAAATAAATAAATTTTACGAATGCAAACAGCATGTTGTGCCATCTGTTGACAAAATTACGCATACAAAAGAAACCAACAAAACAAAAAATGTTGTATATCAGAAAGTGCTTTAACATGCAGCATCGCAATATTGGCGCTAGAGAGAACAGGGCTAATGTGTAAAACTGCTATTCTTCTTTTGCAATGGCAAGCAATAAAACATTTCTGTATTTGCAAAAAAGTTGTATTAATGTTATTACCTTAATGAAATCCTAAATTAAGTTTAACTAAAGTTTATATTAGTCCGCTAGTTCTTTATATTATCTTCTCCAACGAGGACAGCGTTGCACTAGGTTTAAAGGTCTCTTTCTTTGGATGTAAAACACGCATGCTCCGCAGTTGGAGCATTAATTTCTCTGCCAAATTATCCGGTATGGGTACAATACCATACTTCGGCACCCAATCGGGCTTTGTACGTCTTAGATTGGTTAACACAAACTTATTCTTCTTATTTAAATTCGGCGCTCTGGCTATAATATCATTTATGTACGCTTCATTGTTTCTTAGGATGTCTGTAGTTGGTAATTCTGTTGGAGGAGGTGGCGGTAATGTTGTTTCTTGTGGAACAGGAGCTGTCGTTTCTTGTGTAGGTGGCGCAGTAGTTGCTTCTTTTTGTTTCGTTGATATTATAAGTGGGTAGGGATAGGGAACTATCACGATGCTGGAAGGTTGGAAGCAGTTGTTGCAAGTGTTTCTGCAGCATGGTTTTATGTCTTCACAGCGTTGGCAAGAGCAGGTGCATTCATTGGACTCGTAGTCCTCATAATCGACTTCTGTGTAGTCGTAAGGCATTTGATTTTGGTAATAGGGCGGATATTGTTCGGCCGAATTCAATACAAGGTAATTCATATACACTGTTATTACCTGTAAAGTTTAAATTTATTAATTTCGTTAATTTCTTTTTTACAAATTAATTTAATATACTTACAATTTTCTCCATATCTTGTAAATTTAGTTAATTTAATCCAACATTCTTATCTAAGATTGGCCAACTTTCATGACAAGTGCGCCACTGTAGACTCAGGTGTATCACAATGGGTAAGAAAATTCAATGCGCTGCTGCTATTGTTCTCTTACATAAGCTATTACTTATTACGGTTATAACAACTATATTTTTAAGGTACAATGAAGTAGAAATACTCTGCAAAAGGATTTAATTTATTTAGGCATCATGGCATTGGTATTAAATATCGTCATGGCCTGCTTTGCCTGGTCGATCGGTACCTTTAGTACATCCTATTTGGAGATTTTTAGAATTTGTTGTTCTGGTAGTCGAAACGTCAAGACAGTGACTATATAAAAAATGTGTTAATAAATAATGTATTTCACTATAATACTCTTCCTTTACGGAAAGGAACGTCTGCTGGTAGGTCCCGGAGCGCAAGTTGACTCGGAGGTCGCCTTAAAAAAAAAGTATATATAATATATTATATCTGCCGATTCCGTCGACCGGAATTACCTACATAAATTAATACCATAAAAATGCCTTTAATTGGCTAAGAAGCAATCTTTCAAGTACAATCATTTACACGTTATTACAGGCGTTAAAAATTAATAGACACTGATGCTTTAAGACAATTCCATAGCCCTATATAAATGTGTCCTATTTCATTACGTTAATTAAAATTTTGGCTTGTATACAAGTTCGATTATATAGCGGGTGACAGGTCACGACCTCGTTGGACTACTAAAATACCCGACTAGACCTGGATATACGCCAAACATACCTTTGCCTGAAACACGAGTATCAAATATCTATATAAAGCCAACTTTGTATCGGATAAATGAGTTCAAAAGTAATATTATTCTTTTATAAAAGTTGACTTTGCGTTTTTAAATCGATTAAATTAGATGAATTTTAAAATTACGAAGTTCGCGTTTTATGAATGACAGAGCAAAATTTGAATATAACATGGATACACAGTTTCAGCGAATTCAAAAGTATTTCGTAAATCGTTGTAGTAAATATGCCATATTGTTTACAATTCTATTACTGCAAGTTTTCATAAAGATTAGTTAGCAGATGTTTATATTTAGTTGCGCGTGCGCAGGGCGGGTCATGACCTCGCCCCGCCAGAATTAACTCGTGACGACAACGCATGCGCGCCAACACGACCGCGCATAACCTATAATTATGACATAAGCCAAGCAGCTGAAAATGCTACTATGCGCTTGTTATATCTATTAATTTCTCCTGTTTTTATTATTTGTGGTTAGAATTTATTCCGTTTATGATTTGGAACATTTGTTCAATTTGAAATCCTTTTCTTTGCGTTCGTCATGATACATACTTTTCAAGAAAACATTTTTCATGAGGCGTTAAATAAGTCAGAAAGCTACGAGTCCAAGATTTTTCAAAAATCAATGCTAATTTCAACACTACGCCTGTTTTGCTACAAATTAAAAGACCCCGGACGTAAGTAAAAATATTGGAAAGAGGTGTTTCAGTAATTTGTTATCAGTATTGGATTTGATAAGGTTTCGCTTTGTCCGCTGTGAGTTCGATATCAGTGTTATCAGTTTATCAGCAGTCACGAAGTTATGTCCGGTCGAGCGTCTATCTTTTGCCCTTTTCTTGTACTGTTATTGACTTTGCAATATAAAACAAAATTTCGCATCTTATTTCTTTAAATAAGGGGGCGTCCATAAATTGCATGAGGTGTTTTTTTTTATTTTCTGTTCGAGCTCAAAAGGATAAAGAAGAGTCTCTTTGAGCTGAGAGAACTCAAAACTACATAGAATTCGTACTTTTGAGCTCGAAGAGCTCAAAAACAAAATAAGTGAAATGTTGAGCGTTTAGGTATGGAGTTAGTGGGAAGTTGCAGAGATGGCCTTTAGGGTCAACCGTTTTCCTAAAAAAAAATTTTCAATCAGAAAAAAATTGCGTGATATTTGCCGAGACCCCCCCTCTCTCCAACGTAAGATTAAATGAGATTTGACTCGACCCCCTCCCCCCCTTAACGTAATTTATGGACGCCCCCTTAAAGAGGGCAAAATATCTGAAGGGAGATTTTTGCATTTTAGATTTGATTCATGTTTGACATTGACAGTCTTCTTGTTAAGGAGGTTTATTAAGAAAAAAATATCGCATACATAAATACATTGCCAGAGAAAAATAACGCGTAGTTTTGAAATCTTGTGTTTAAAATTTATGCTCGCTAATAAGTGGGTTTTGTATTGACAACAAGGAAACTAAACTATGATAGCCAGACTGGTATCAGCTATAGAGTCATTGATAAGAATTGGGTAAAACCCAGTTTGACTAAACATTACGGGTCATGACACTAAGTAAAAAAATTGTTTTGCGAATAGTTCTATTATTCGTGGTATTAAAACGGTTGTTGATATGTTATATTCTATCTATGAAGGATATGTAGTTTAAATTATACTTTGAATTATATTTTTAATCAATTTCACAATATATACTCACGATTTTTTATATATAAACCTTAGATAGATGGTTTTTATTCTTTATTTATTAACACTTTGTTGCATTACACATTTGATACACATTCAGATAAAATAAATTAAGTAGGCAACAAGGTAACAAGCGACCTCTTCGAGGCAACCCTTGTAAAGAAAAAGAAAACAAGAAATACTAAGTATAAAGTAGGAAACTAAATTTAAAAAAATAAAATTACAAATGTAGACTTATTTTACTAAAATAAGATAAAAAAAGCTAATCTTAAGAGTCATGAATCACGATGCTAGATTTTAAAATACATAAAAATAATTTTACTAAATTATTATACTACTATTTTTTATGCGATAAATTTTATTTAGCGTAATTTTTTAAGATTGATATATCCTAACTCAAAGCATAAAAGTTAATCATAACAATCACAATGTATTTACAAGTACTTAACCTACAAAGTAGTAATAAAAATAATTAAAAAGAAAATTAAAACAAATTTAAGAAGTTTGGTACCTGTGGCAGTGTACCTTTAACGCTGGCAGCATTACCTCGCTGTATTGCGATATTTATTTTATTTTTTCAAGTATCTTTCTTGATGGAACGAATTCGCCTTCCCGCCTTGTTGGCTCCCAGTAGCCTTTACTAATACAAGATGTTGTTTACACATACATATTCAGTTGTGAATGGTTGTGACATTACGTAAAGGTAATAAGGGCTTGCTAGAGGCATCGGAAGGTTAAGAGCCCGTTATCGCCTCTTATCACTCGTTCGTACCATGCCCCATTTGCTCGTTTGACCTGACACCTCAGTTATCAGTTGAACGCGATAAACCGATGTACTCTACCTGTTTTACCTTCAGTGTTTGTTTTTTTAAATTGTTCAGTTTTCAGTGTTTTCAGTAGGAATTTGTGTCGTGTAGTGTCCTTTTGACTTCCTTCGAATTTAAATGCAAGGAGACTTTGGTAAGGGATACTATACTCCTAGAAATTACCTAGGTCTTGCCACATACTATAAAATATGTTTTGAAAATGTTTTCATTGGAAAATTTAAACATAATTGAAAAGAACCTGATTACTTAACCAGCTCATTGACATTTAGATAAAAGCGCCCCATTTATACCATTTACGTCACTTTAAGTGAAATTAGAAGTTAGGTATATAATACACATTGAAATTTACCGTTTTAGTTGAAGGACATATGAATTTTAATACAACTTTTCCATGTAACATTCATTCTTAGGAATGAATAACTTTACTTGCCTTTCTTGTCGACCTAGATCATTTTTTAGTTCGCAGATAACTTTATATTTCATGAACCGATTTCTATGATTCTTTTTGGTTCGAAAGAATTTCAAGGGTGGTACCATAACTGGATGGAAGGATGGCATTCCAGAAAAACGGAAGGGAGCCGTCGAAAAATTGGTTCAAAATCTAAATATCATGAAATGATTCTTTCGAAAGTCGATATTTTGGTAAAAGTTATTTAAATATCAACATCAAATTGGCAAGACTTAATATCCTTCTAAAGCTGTGTTATAAAACACGATTGTAGCGCTTAGGTAAATAGTAATTTGCTCTATAATTTAAAAAATATAGATACAAAAACAAGATAGTATGATATATTAATATGCCGTTAAAAGGACATAGCAGGTTCGCATGTAAGCAATTTTTTACAAAGAAACAACCGGCAGATATACCATCAAAATACGGGACCTATAGAAACATTATAATAGAATTTAAAGGCCGGCAACGCACTTGCGAGCCTTCTGGCAATGTGTCCATGGGCATTGGGCATATTATTATCACTTACATCAGGTGAGCCACCTGCGCGTTTGCCTCCTGTTACACAAAAAAAATACGTACTAGTATATCGTATGTATAAAATTTAGTTTTTATATTTGACTTTGTTATATAGACTCATTATGACAATACGAATTTAAAGACAATTATTTATGATATCGCACTCTTTTATTACTACGCATGTATGTCATAGTAATAAAAGAGGGCATTGCTGACAATTTTTTTGACAGTGCACTCTCAAATTAATATATCATTCGTTTGCGTCAAAGTAAAAGCATTATCTTGTTGTCTGTCAGTGACATTGTTACTGTTATAAATGAAGACATTGTAAAAATATATTCAAACCATATCGGGCCAATAAAACAGTTATCATGAGTTTGAAGATTTCTTATTATTTAATTTAGTGTAGACGTAGACGTTTTTTATATGTTTATTAAGTAGTTTCAATCTGTCTGGCATGATTGATAGGGTTTGATTCCCGATTGCAAATTATGCGAAAATGCTTACAATAGAATAATACTATGGTCTTAATAAATATAAATTCATTAGGCAAGGAAACGATACTAAAGTCTCATGTAAAATAATTAGGAAACTGGCGTGCTCAGACCCAATATCAGGCAAGGACGTTTATCACCTATTATTTGATAATTTCATGGATTAATAGGATCGATAAAAGACGCAGAACTGCCCATGATTAACTTACACTATAAGGGTTATTTTATAATAAAAAATATATATAGGGTATAATTTAAGGATTTTACGGTAAATTAGTTGTGGACAGAATCTGCACAGTAAAGAACCTATGGCACGATCAAGCTCCATAGCATTGATTATTCTATAAAATTATTCGCATCGTATAATTTAAAATAATTTGTCAACGTATGTAATCTGGCATAGGTCATAGTTGCGTACTTATCTTTTATCACAGATTATAATTAATATACTGTACTTTGAAGTATATTATCTGTATGTCTCGTGAATATATTTCCTGAAATGCGATAGCTGATAACACAATACATAGTTAGGAATTTGAATAAAATAATTTAATTTGGATAGGAATAATTTTGAGGGAAGCTGTTTGAGGAATTGTCTTATATTTGGTTTTTATTTTTCTAAAAGCACTCATTTGTATTAACGGCATAAAATAAATTTAAATATTATTTTTGTAACAGATAACCAAGAGAAAAATTATATCGCTCTGTCGCGGAACTATTAATAAATAAAAATGTCAAATATTGTGATAACGAACGATGTGAAAAATGATGAAGTGATGAAAAGTGAAGTGACAGTGAAACAAGAGGTCGAGGACAGACCTCAGAGGGAGACCAGGCTGACCAGCATCATAGATCACCTGAGGTACCAAAATATGAGTCGAGGTAAGTGATAATAGTTGAAATAATTGTGTTTAGTTAAAATAAAAATAAAATGTTTATTACGGAACATAAGACAGGTATCACTTATTCCAGGTCATTAAATTTGAATCGGTAGACATCATAAAAAGCCGGCGTAAAAAACTCTCTGTACTCTTTTAAAATAGCAAACAACACTTAGGTATTTTAAAACAAATTAATTAGAAGTAGCCTGTCTAGCACTGGTCCCAGGCTCTTTTACCAACTAGGTAATCGTTAACTTTATAGCCACTGTTACACAGTTTTTCTTTAATACTCTTCTTAAATTTATTAAAAGGCAGACATAAAAGAGCCTCTGGGATTTTATTAAAGAAAAGTATCCCTTTTCCCAAAAAAAAAATACTAACTTTAGATAGTCAAGTACGGGGAAATTGCAGCCTGCGTTTGTTCCGAGATTATTCCGAGGTTTATGTTATTAATAAATGATATATCGTTAGCACATAAAATCACATTACATTATGATATTAGTTGTATATCATTTGTGTTATGCCGGCTACGTGTGGGATTGAAATTAAATTGAATGCTTGTGTATACTAGTTTATGAAACAATTTTCGGCAGCGGAATTAAACTAAAATATATTTGCCTATGGGGGGGTTTAAACAGTGGAGCATTATAGTTGAGTTGCAATAAGTTTTGACTGTAGCAAACAAATTTCAGTATTTAAGTATATAACAAATACAATATTTATAATTTTTCTTTTATTAACCAAAATACTAATAGTATTAAAACTATTTGATTGTTCTATACCGATAAATAAATTACGATAAAGGATTTAGGAAATCATGAAATCGTATGACGAAAGGAAGGAATATATTTTTTTTTATAGAACGGGGCAAACGGGCTCACCTAACGTTAAGTGATTCCTTATGCTATGTATACTCAATGCCAGAGGGCTCGCGAGTGGTGGCCTTTTAAGAATTCGTCCGCTTTTTTCCTGAAGGACCCTAAGTCGAGTTGGATCGTAAATCCTTCAGTGGTTCCACATAAAGTCAAAGTCAAAAGTCAAAGTCAAATCATTTATTTCAATTAGACCATCAAAAATGGCACTTTTGAACGTCAAAAAAAATACAAATAAGATTCTAGTTGCCCCTTCCAAAAGGTAGTTTCGTGTGGAGAAGAATGGGCAAGAAACTCCACACTTACTCTTTTTAAAATAGGTTTACAATATTTTGTTACATTTGTTAAATAATTATATGTGAAGACAATGTACTCTTAGAATAAACTACTATACTAAAAAGTTGTATAATGTTCCTCACATATTTACAAATATCGAAACCGTAGAATATTAACATTAAAGAGTAATAAAAATATTAAAAAACACAACAAAACAGTTGTGAGATACAATACAAATAATTACATTTGTCGCATTATAAATTTAAAAAAAAGAAATAACAAAAATATGTTAAAGCAAAAAATCAGCAACCAATTTGATTTTGTCCAGGCTCTATGATTGTCCTATGGAGCAGGACCAGCATGTTTCCAAGCATTCTTATCTTGAATATCTAATTTGTAATATGCTTGTTTACAAAGTGTACGTTTAATAAAACATTTAAATTTTCGTTCATTTAGTTTTAAAATGTCACCAGGTATTTTATTGTAACATTTCACACAGTACCCCATAAATGAATTATGAACTTTGGCTAATCGGAAAGATGGTTGAGCTATTTTATGTTTATTTCTAGTACTAAAATTATGTCTTTCATTTATTTTACTAAAAAGATGTAGATTCTTTCTTTCATAGCGTCACATTTGTTGCGTCCTGCGTCATTGACTATTTTTCTTTACAATTGCTTCTATGACAATAAAATTTACATAACTATTTTTGGGTCTAACTGGCCGATTACCTCGCGACGTTATTCTACGGAACGTGTTCGATCTTGTTCTTGTTACACCATCCCCCCGATGGGAGTGTTTAGGCTCGCACCCTGATAATACAGGGCGGTACGGGGGCGGGCCTTTAATCCTGAGGGCTGCAGAGCGGAGACAGAGGGCTCGATTCGCAGTGCGCAGAACGGAAAGTGTGTGATTTCAAGAAAAAATTGTATCAAGTACAAAATTATAGAAAGTAAACCTAGCTAAAATACCAAACTCGATTTTAATCAAGTAAATGTTTAATGCATGACTCTACCACTTAATATTCGCGAAATACTGGCGATAAGCGAACAATCATTTTATCACTAAGGTTACGGTTCAGAAAGGTTAAAGCAACAAATTCAAAGTAGAACCGCAATGATACCATCAGCATTGTTCGTAGATCTAAGATTCATTGGGAGCGAATCTAATTGCGCGGGCGCACCCGACGCGTGCCTTTTGTCTCGCCCGTAATTACTCTTATAAACCCACTAAGCGATTTACATTAAGGGTCTAGGCTGAAAGGCGATGGAAGCGGAAGCGATTTTTTACTACTATAGAAAATTACAAGAAAAAATTATGACTTGTTGCAGTTGCTTTAAGGCAGTTTTTGCCGCGCACCACCACTATGTGAAGCCTACTGCCCACTGAAGTATTTCCGAACCAATTCGACTTAGGGTCCTTCAAGAAAAGAGCGTACTAATTCTGAAAAGGCCGGCAAACTCGCGAGCCCTTTAGCATCGATTTGGATTGTATTTTATTTGTTAAAATTGTTTCGATGTTTAATTTATGACTAACTAAGTGTGGGTACTGTGAATATAAAATAGGCCGTTAACGCTTTAAAGACTTTCTACGTTTTATTTAAACAAACATTATGGGAAATATATGCGTTTATTAAATAAATGTAAAGAATTTCAATCGTATTTCAATTTTAAATTTATATATTAACATGCACTTTATTTAATTAAGATCGCAAGATATTTGACGGATTATTAAACTAATGATCCCCTCATGGACTGTCATTGTAAGGGTCCACCGCAAGTGGCTGGTAATTAACACTGTGCACTTTTTTGTGTTTTCTTTCTACAGACATAAATATTTTCAAGAAAAACTGACCATTAAAACTCAATTATTCTGACTGCAAGTGACGAATTTGGTTGTGTGTTTATATCAACAAAAACACAACAGCCTTGCGATTCTGTAACTCACACAGCGGTTTTCGCAGCTGCGGTCCCGCTCGAATCATAAGGAGGGAGCTTGTAGTTTATTGTTTATCAGAATGCCAAATCGTAAAATGACTGCTTTACGACTGATTTGAGCGGGACCGCCGCTGTGAAAACCGCTGAGTGAGTTCGAAAAGTGAGTTACAGAATCGCAAGGCAGATGAGTTATATTTCTAAATAATATAGAATCAATTATGAAATTGCCACGTAGATAAATCGTGTTCGCTTATCGCGCCTCCTATCACCCTGCATCAAATCGCGATAACATCGGCGCAAAGGTTGTGACTTCGTTTCCGTTTTAAAGTCTACGGTTTCTATTAGAATGAGATTTACGACGTGTTGGATTACATCTGTGTAATTATTTCATAGCCAACCTGTGATTACATTGTAGGAAATGATTACTCCAATTAGAATCATCAAAATGTAGACAGCTCAAATGTTTTATTCGTTGTTACGTTAAAAGTACGTATGCCGAGCTAATCACGTCTGCTACATTTTAATAGAGTACCGAGAGTTTTTTTACGCCGACTTTTTCTCTCGGCCTACACCCTTCTTTGGCTATGATTTGGGATGTCTACCGATACAAATTTAATGACGCGGAATAAGTGATACCTGTATATTATATTCCATAATAAACATATTTTTTTTAATTTAGTTTTTATTTTTATTAGGATTCTGTAAATTGCGTAATTGTGTAACCATTTGAAAAGCCGCTAAATTTAATTTATTCATTTCTTTCCAAAAACATTATTTTTATATTAAAATACACCATACCTACATTTTCTACAGTATATGTTACAATATATCTATTCTTAAATACATGACTAATACGGTGAACATGAATTTTCCAAAATGCCATAAAAATATTATACTTCCAACTACAATATTACCTGGTACCCGTTTAGGTGCTAAACAACGTTTAAAAATTATTGGATCACTATCGACTATATCAAGCTCTGAATACGTACCGTTTATTCTGTTATATTCGCGAATAATTCGAATGAGAGGCATCTGAACTCCTAGGTTCGTTTTTACTGATGGAATTTGGAAGATTCTGCTGATTTTGAACCTCGGGAATGAATAAACCATATTAATATTCTGAAAGAGGTTACTGTTCTGTATTGGACCATTTAACACTTGGTATAAGATCGTAACACCGGCTAGAGATCTCCAATCATATAGTGACATCATTTTAAATTAGTTTCATCATCGGACGTCGAGGCTGAATATGAAATTCCACCCGTATCACGACGTCCACATTTCCACAATTGAGCGTTTTCTAAGGCAGTTTTTATCTATGTGGAACCAGCTGCCGCTGAAGTATTTCTGAACCAATTCGACTTAGGGTACCAATTCGTAAAAGGCCGACAACGCAACGCACAGGCATTGAGAGTGTTCATGGGCGGTGGTATCACTTAACATCAGATGAGCCTCCTGCCTGTTAGCCCCCAGTTCTATAAAAATCCTAAGCCGCTGATGGTATGGCTGTCTATGAGAAAATCCTAATACTAATAAATGTTAGCTGTGGAGTGCATACTTGCGAATAGATCGATATGATATAAGAGATTTCATATAAAGCTACCGTATTCAACATGACTGCATTATGGTAATTAATCCAGCAAATTAACGACGTCAGAGTTAAGTAAATAAATAGCTGTTAATAGCCATACTTAAGTGTTGCAGGTGACCAGGGGTTAATGTGCGGCGCGTGTCGTACGGGGGCAATTCTCACTGACCGCTAACTGATTGTGAAATAGCCGCTTAATTACTGAGGGTTATTCTGAAAACAACTTTAGAATGCCACTAGGGAAATTGTTCTTTATTAAAGTGATTCGGTTTAATATATGTCCCAGAATTTCGTATATGTATTTAACTTATACATCAGCGGGTTGTAAAGAGTAGATATTCTAATTAAATAACTATAATCCACAAACATTATATGAGCTACAAAGTACGGATAAAATCTGGAAACCCTACCATTGTATCCAGGGTATTTTTTTCCATCACTTATATTGTTACTAGAGGATACATAAATTAAAAACTTCGTGTTGCGCGTCTCGCGAGATACGCCACGACTACATCGGTAATATTATTATTTACAATATTCATGTGCGATAAGAATTATAATAAAACAATTGCTTGCGACCTGCTCTTAAATTTTTGTTTGCCATTTCAAATAAATCATAATTTTGTCGCAGAACCGTTCCAGGTACGGTCTGTGCTTTGTTAAGATCTCCTGTAGGCCGTTACGCCTACTGGCATCAGTCTTTGTTGCTCCAGGTCGTGTGACGGTGCGAATAAAGGGCAATGTATAAACACATGTTCAACTAAATATACTTAAGTATTATTATTATTTTAAAGGCCGGCAATGTGCCCAAAGTGTTTAAAAAAACATAGGTATACTTCTATCTTCGCAAGCGTAGTATTGTATAGTTTTAGATCTTTTTAATATATGGAAATAATCTTACTGAAAAAAACACGGCGATTTCCCCATCGAGGAAAATAAACTATCGCTTTTTCTTGTTTCAATTGTTTTAGTCGCAATATTCGTTTCATTAGCTCAAAATGCTCAAAACCAATCTTTGCTACTCACATATTTACTATACCCTGATTGTAATTTACTGTTAAGTACGTGCATAAATATCTGACCTATCTCAATTAGCGGCTACGGCGATTATTTAACTAATGATTTAATAAATTGTCGGAATGCTCACAGCCGCGGCGCTGCGTTTAATCGTTATGCCGGGCGCATACATACTGATTCGGATCAGGTTTCCGTATGGTTTCAGATTCGAAACCTGAATGGTCCGCGTCATACAAAATTTCGACAAGGCGCACACCGTTCTTACTTTTTCCGGACAGAAAAACCTGACGTTCGGTTCGGAATTTCTCCGTTTTTTTAAGAACGGAAAAACCTGATACGTCACCCCGAACGCAGCATTCGCATACATTTTGCTCGATCGCCGCACACGTAGGAAATTTTCATTCAGAATCGGTTGGCGCCCGTGTGGAGTAGACGTAGACGTGTAACACTCTCCTGTTTTTTATTTTATCTTATGAAGCTATCAAAGGATTTCATTGACATCCTGTAATATTTGAAGAATTCTTCTGGGTATGCCCGTAACTTTGCTCTTTTGACATAGAATTGACTCTCATTAATCTTTGGTATTCAGTGGATGCACCCAATAACGACGTTTTATGCCCTTTTGTCTAGCGCCAAAAGAGCAATGACATCAATTGTCTTCGTCGTCCATACTCGTGCGTTATCAGAAGCGTCTATGATCGAACTGATCGTTTAAATTCCGAATGCAAAACAGAATGTGTGCGCTCTCCACATATGTGCAATTTATTTGACGCGTTTTGTGTTTGAGCTTTGCTTAAGACATTTAAAGAATCAAATCGTTCTCCCAAATTGAACAATATATCGTAACATCTTCATTTAATAACGTTATTCATTAATATAAAAAGGAATAATATATAATACAATTATAAACAATAAAATTTTCTTAACCTACAAAGTAATAATAAAAATATTTAAAAATTTATAAAAAGAAAATTTAAAAAGTTTTCTCCCTGTGACCTTTCTCGGCTGCATTTCCTCGCTGTATTGCGATACTTTTCCGTTGAGCTAGAAAAGCACTGTGGTCAACTTTAAACGGACTTCAAAGTAACGGATGTGACGTCGTGTAGTTTTTTTTGTTAAGTAGGTACCTTAGATATCACAGCACTATGCAACAACGTTGATTTATTTTTTTTATTTATTAAGAAATAAAATATAACGTTGATGATGTCCTCAACAGATTCACAGATAAATAATAATTATATACAAACATGACAGCAGAACTGTTCTCAAGTAAAAATAAAATAAAAATAAAATAAAATATAATAAAATATGTTTATTATGGAACATAAGATACATGTATCACTTATTCCACGTCATTAAATTTCAATTTGTAGGCATCCCTACTCATCGGCAAAGAAGACAGAGGGTGTAGGCCGAGAGAAAAAGCCGGCGTAAAAAACTCTCGGTACTCTTTTAAAATAGCAAATCATCAAACAACACTTATTTTAAAACAAATATCGCAAATTAATTAGAGGTAGCCTGTCTAGCACTAGTCCCAGGCCCTTTTATCAACTAGATAATCGTTGACTTTATAGTAAGCCTTTTTACACAGCTTTTCTTTAATACATTTCTTAAATTTATTGAAAGGCAGAGATAAAAGAGCCTCTGGGATTTTATTAAAGAAGAGT